CAGCACTTGATTAGCAAACATCCGACGGAATTCGGTCACGACCAAACTCAAACACAACTTCGATTTAATTCTTCACAGGAAGGTATCGATTATCAACTTTTTAAATTTTTAAAAACTGTAGAAAGAGAAGAATTGGCTAGAGTTATTTCAGTAGCATCACTTTCATTTAGTTCTGCTAATAATGATTTTCTTATAGATCGTTTTAAAAAAATGCATGGGCCTATCTCGCTTTAAACTTGAATTAGTACAGGAATTTCTTATGCCATACAACAAATTTTCTATTTGTTCTGATATTTTGAGTGATCATTGGGGTCATAATGACTATATGGGTGTAACATGTCATTGGATTAATCGTGCATGGAAACTTAAAAAAAAATGGTTTTCCTGTTAAGAATACTGGTCATTCTGCATCTGAAATTGCACAATCACTTCGCTATGTGTTAGATTCATATTTATTAACTGAAAGAGTTTTTTCAATTTCATTCGATAACGCAAGTGCCAATACGGCTTCTATCCCTGATCTTGTAGTTGCATGTAAGCCAACATGTGGGGGAATTTTTTTGATATTGGGTGCATATGTCATATTTTGAATTTATGTGTGCAAGATGGTTTACGAATGTTAGCAACGCATATTACTAAAATTAGAGCATGTATTCAATACATATGGCGACACAAGTCGGTTACCAGACAATGCTGGGAGTTTTGTCAAACCAACCACATGCATCAAGTTAGATTTAACCGAGATACTCCAACTCGTTGGAACTCAACATATAAACTTTTAATAAAAACTTTTTGCATATAAAGAATTCATATGTCAATTTTTTCAAACATAATTTCCTCGGGCTGGAATTTATATTTTACCCTCTAAATGGGATACATGCTAGAAAATTTGTAATGTTTTAAGCATTTTTCTCCGAAAGTTCTGATTTATTATCTAGTACTTATTATCCTACTACTCATTTAGTTGTTTATCAGTTATGCAATATGGCCGGTGTTATTAACGACGCTATGCAAATTGAAATTTTAGTTTTGTGTCTGAATGGAATTAAGAAAAAATTCTGCAAATATTATATGAATATTCCTGAGCTATATTTGGTTGCTACAATTTTAGATCCTAGACTTAGGCTTGATCTATTACCTGATATGCTACAAATATATTAGGATAATTTGTCTAAGAATATACCATTGATTGATTGCCCTTCAGTTTCTAACGTACCTATTCTTGTTAGCACTTTGACTGCATTATTAAATGAACTTTATGATGAATATGCTACTATGTCTGGAACATCTAATGTTCCAAATAGCGATCATGCTTCAACATTGGATACATCTACTATGTTGGCGGCCCAACATTTATTGCATGAGCGATTTAAGCGTCCAAGGTCCTCATCCTCAAGTTACAATCAACGATTGGAACTTGAGAGTTATTTAACCGTTAGATTTGATTCCACAGAAAGTACATATTTTGACATACTGGCGTGGTGGAAGTCAAAGAGTTCATCGTTTCCAATTTTGGCACATATTGCGGTCGAATCCGCCTTTAGTGTAGCCGGCAGAGTATTGGATCAAACAAGAAGCAATCTCGGTGCCGACAATTTCGAAAATCAAATGCTTTTGGGAGATTGGACGAAAACCGACCACAGACACAAAGATGACCACATCTACAAAGACGACGCAGATGATGATAAATATGTTCCTACAGAAGGTGGGGATACAACTTCACCCGGCGGCAGCGACGACTAAAAAGGTAAGTGAAGGTAAGAGAACTACGTGGACTTTGATTTTGTACCGGATACTAGGCAACTTAGTTTTAAATTTAAAATTATAAATTTTGAATTTAAGACTAAGCTCAAGTCCTTTAAATTTAGCTTCTTCTTTTTTTCCTTTTTTTGATATATATGAAAATAATAAAATAAAATTCAAAACAAAATTCAAAAACTGGTTTTGGATCCAAACCCGCCCCGGACCCGGAAGGACCCGAGTGGACCCGGACCCGGACCCGGACTCGACCCGCCCCGTGGCCGTGTCTAATGCACGCGACAGAGGGTTATAAGTAATTTAGTGTCTCGGGTTAATAACCAGGAGTTTAATTTGCATAATAGAGGTTCAATTGGGTGAAGAATTATCGCATTGATGGAAGATTAAATCCTAGGTCTTTTAACACTAGTAGAAAATTTGCTTTTTACTACTAATTTTTTTGCTACGGTCAAAAGCCGTAACAAAAGGGACTTTTTACTACGAGACAATTTTGAAGTAGTAGTAAATATTAGGATTTACCGTAGCAAAAAAGTATTTGGTACGGCCATTTACCGTAGAAAAGTTTTTGTCACGCCCGTATATACTACGGAGCAAATTCGTAGCAAAAGCCTTTTACTACGAATTTGATACCTTTTTGTACGGTTAATGGTCGTAGTAAAAAGCCATTTTTCTACTAGTGTAAATTGATATTTTCCTGTGTTTATTTGCTCTCGTATTTAGTTTAATAATTTAGATCGTAAAATCTTGATAAACTTGCGTAGGCAGAACAAAAATCATAATTGTTAGAATTCGTTACTTAGAATTAGATAATTTAAGTATTCCATGTGGGAACATCCGACTATCACGAATCCACTCTTACTACTTGTTAGCGATACGTGCACTTGCGTGTTAGGTATTTAGTCCAACATGCCTGCATTATTGTCAAATATGTTTTGGGGATCTCCCTTATTAACCCTATCCAGAGAATTTTATAGCAAAGTAGCAATTCTCCCGTGGATGCACGGCTAGCATTGTAAAAAAATAAAAAATAAAAGTTAAATATACGATAATTAAATTGTATAAAAAAAATTACATTGTAGTAAAATATTTAGTTGTGAAATTTAAATTACCAAAGTAAGTCATTTGACGTCCATTCAGTTGCTGAAATATTAACCATAAAATAATTTGTTTACTTGAAAAAAGAAAAAAAATTATATGCAAGTGGTTAGGATTTTGCTAAACGATTTGCAATGAAAGTCATTAGAGAAAAAAATGCCGAAAAATAAGAGATGTAATTATTTTAAAATTTTTACAAATATATCATTAAGGGTGCATAGGCTACTTTTATACATAAGATTACCCCATTAATTAATGTCATAATTTAGTTATAGAAATATGAAGAATAAACTAAGGCATGAACACCCAAGTCCGAGAATCATGCATAGCATGCTTCTCGGCAGTTTCTCCAAAGCCAAAAAAATTGAAAGAAGAAATATTAAAAGTCAACGGTAACTGCCAGATTGGGCTTTGCACAAAGTCAAGGTCTTAACTCTTATAGCTGGCAATCAAGTGGACTTTTTCATTTCACTTACACAGCTGAGAGAACAACGCAATATATAATAGATCGATCAAGAATATATAACCACAACGATTTCTCCATATATACAAAAAAGTTCATATATCTTTGATCGGTTTTCTTCATATTTCTTTAACGAGAGCATATATATATACATACATATAATTAAGTTAATTAGATTGGGAAGAGATGAAGACTGATCGAGGCAAGAACTTAGGTCAGTTGTCTGAAAGAAATACATCCATCACCATTCATGAATGCGCAAAGTCCGGAGATCTCGTTGCCTTGCAGACATTACTTCAACACAATCCTTCTCTTCTTAATCAAACAAACCGTCCTGTAAGATTTTCTTTGTTTACTGATCACATGATATATATCTATATATATATACATATATTGTTGTTATTCTTGAGCGACTACAAATTTCATTGAGGCCCATAATCGGATCAAATGCATGCCATGTATTTTCAATATTACTATAAATCTTAATTTGTTTTCTGAACATAGAAGAATTATATATTAAAAAAAAAAGGTAGTGCGTACATTGAACCAGATGATCATCTTTCGATCTCTTCGAGCACGTGATACGGATTTCTATTGATTATTCTAGATATGACATTGTTACATTGATAATATATAGTTTTACGTGAAATTAAACATTTCCGAAAGTTGAGATTTTTGGATGTGATCATGCGTTCAGAATCGGCGGATGGTACGTAGTTGCAGTACGAACTTGATTATAAAATTTAATTTTGTTCAATGAGTTTGAGATTAATCTATCGTTTTAAACTTGATTATAAAATTTAGCATCATAAAAAGTATAATTAAACAAAAATACTCCATTTGTTCTACAATATTTGTCTCTTTTGAGAGTTTCTTTTGTTCCATATTATTTGTCGTTTTACAATTTCAATGATGCATTAATTACATATTTTTTTTAATTATACATTTATTAACTCTCCAACACTATTTTTGCATTAATTAGTAAACAAGGGTATTTTTGGTCTATCAATATCTATTTTCCTAAAATCAAGACATATTTATTAAGATTTTTTAAAACTTGCGCCAAGGTGAAAACCTATTTAGGAACGGAGGGAGTACAATTTTTATTCCCTCATTTACGACCAAGATATTTTTGGTCTCATGTTACAAAAAAATACCTTTGATATCCCTCAATTTACAAATTAAAGCCTACATAAGTTTCTGGGGAATTTTTGGTATATCGAATATTACTTCCTTAATCTTTTTTTTTTTTCTTTTCGATTGTAGAAAAATATTAGCCATTCGACTTCTCAGTACTCCCTAAACTAGTGTGATTCTAATGCCCTTGAGCCTTAATTCGTTTATAGCGAAAATATAATTATGTAAATGCCTTAGCTAGCTTGCAGTTACAATATGCTGTTTAGTGGTTCATCAAATAAATCCTTCGTTTTTACTAGCTAGGTTGCTATTATAGACTTGTGTTTTTGGGTGCAGATGTTACAAACACCATTACATATGGCTGCTAGTTTCAATAGAGTCGAGATAATAGAGTATTTGCTCGACTGGGAAGGACAAGGAATAGCGGAGATGGAAGCTAAGAATGTCGTACGTACCCCGAAAATATTTAATTGCAATTGTTTCAAAAGATAACCATATCATATATATTAATTTTTCATGCTATATATATATATATATATATGTTGCTTCATTTAATTTAATTGGCTATTGCAGAATGGTGAGACCCCGTTGCACGTAGCAGCTAAGAATGGATATAACGAGGCAGTCACGATGCTTCTTAATCGTGGTGCCTATTCTAAAGCTACAACAAATGTACTACTATCTTCTACTTGTGTATCCAATTTTTTTAAATTTAGCTATGTACAAGTAACTTATTTTTCTATCGAGTTTTTCATTTTTGCACCTTCTCGCAGAACCTCATGACTCCATTACAACTTGCTACTTGTTATGCACTGCGATCGAAAAACTACTTGACAGTGAAAACATTGTCAGAGAGCAATGCTAATTGCTTGGTGAAACGTGATGGAATAAATGGAAAGATGGATGAGTTTGAACGTGAACTATCCAAGATAGTCGGACTTCGTGAGCTTAAACGACAGCTCAAGACATGGGCAAAAGGAATGCTCATGGATGAGAAGCGTCGTGCCATGGGAGTAAATCTTGGACCAAGAAAAGCACCTCATATGGCATTCCTTGGAAATCCCGGGACAGGTATTTTCGATGAATTTTCCTTATATATCTTTCAGTGTTTTTATTTATAAGGATTGTTTTTTTCTAATTGGATCTTTGAGTATTTATTGTGCAGGTAAGACAACCGTAGCACGAATCCTAGGCAAACTACTTCAATCTGTTGGTGTACTTTCTTCTGATAGTGTAACCGAAGTGCAAAGATCGGATTTGGTAGGAGAATATATTGGACAAACCGGACCAAAGACTAGAAAGAAAGTATGAAAATTTTTAATGTTCCGTAATGTTCTTAAAGCTTCTTCGATGTTTTAATAATTTTGGATTGATGCTTTTGCAGATCGAAGAGGCAATGGGGGGGACTTTGTTCGTGGATGAAGCATACCGTTTAGCACCCGAGCGGAGCGCTGGTCATACCCAAGACTATGGTGTGGAGGCATTGGAAGAGATAATGTCTGTTTTGGAAGATGGAAATATTGTGGTCATTTTTGCTGGCTATACCGAGCCGATGAAGCGTGTTTTCTCTTCGAACGAGGGATTTTGCCGAAGAGTTTCTCACTTTTTCACATTTGATGATTTTACATGCAAAGATCTTGCGCAGATGCTGAAGATAAAGATGAGCAAGCAAGATGAGAAGAGTCGACTGTTCGGATTTAAGTTGCATCCCTCGTGTACTTCTGGTGCTATTCTTGAATTGATAGAGAAGAACTCTACTGAGAAGCTGCGGAACAAACTGAATGGAGGTTTGGTTGATCATATGCTGAACAATGCTAGAGAGAATCTTGATTCGAGGCTGAATTTGGATTCGACAGGTGATGAACTATTGACAATCACTCTAAGCGATTTGGAGGCTGGACTTAAAATGTTATCGCGACGAATGAATGTGGAGTGAAAGAGAGGATAAATGGAGATGAGAAGTTGGTTTAATATAATTTGTGTGTGAATGAAAATGTGTGTTGTGCAAAGATCATTGTACAAGTCCAACATCTATACTTCCTTTGAGATGAGTGTCTAGTTTCAATTTACTTATGTTTGTATTAAATTGAATTCATTTAATCAGTTATTAAGGAAATAAGTACCAACGGAACAGAAGATTTCTCACTCAGTGCAGTCATTTATTTGAGATTGAGATATTTATTAAACCAACTTTTGGGCAGATTTGTTAGGACATGAGTATTTGATTAGTAAAATATAGAAAGTTTGTTGGCAGTACGTTTTGCTTTAGAGTCCATTTAATTGAAAGGGGTTTTTGTGCATAAGTCTCCAATCAAACATTTTTATTATTCTATTATTCTAGGTTTAGGGACTATATTTCTTTCATCAATAAGTTCATCCATTTAATATTTATTATAAATAAAGAAAATATTCATGTATATGCCAATATTACCACAATCCTTTATATCCAATTCTTAATTGTAATTTGTAACCCCAATTTAATCAATTTTGTCTACAAAAATCCAATTTTGACCACAACAATTTAATTTTGACTTTTTTTTTTCAAAAACTTTTTTTTTTGTTGCCGCATTCCGGCATTGACCGGCGTTGACTTTTTTTAGTTTTTTTTTTTTTCTTTTTTTTACGTCCGCCGCTAACGTAATTATATTGTCAATTGCAATTAGTTAACGTAATTGTACTGCAGTTGACAATACATTTATGTAATTGTTTTGCCGTTGACAGTAAATTAACGTAATATTATTATTTTTTTATTTTTTGTTATTTTTTTTTTTATTTGTTGACAAGTCAACGTAATTATATTACTGTCGTTGACAGTAAAATAACTGTAAACACAATAATATTACTGTCAACAACATCAATATTATTATTTTTTTGGATTTTTTGTTTTGTTTGAGTTATTCACGGAGTAACGTAATAATATTACTGTCTATTATTGTAATATTACTGTAAACACAATAATATTACTATGGTTGACGGTAATATTACTGTTGTTATAGTAATATTGATGTCAACCACATCAATGTTATTATTTTGTTTGGATTTGTTTGTTTGTTTGAGTTATTCACGGAGTAACGTAATAATATTACTGTCTATTATTGTAATATTATTGTGGTTGACTGTAATATTACTGTTGTTATAGTAATATTGCTGTCACTCACAGTAATATTAATTCTTTTGGCTTTTTATTATGTTTACATTTGTTGAACGGTCAAAATAGTAATATTACTACTCTATTACACAATAATAATGAGTTTTGTTGTGTTAATATTACTATGCTAGAGATTAATATAGTAATATTACTGTGTTAAACTGTAATTTAGTTAACTTTACTGTGTTTAACAGTAATATAGTTAATATTACTGTCAATCACAGCAATATTGTTGTTTAAACGAAAAATAAAATGTTACATAAAGAGAGGAAAAAAAAAAGGTGAACGCTGGAGACTGGCGAAAAAATTCGAAAGAAAAAAAAAATCGAAAAGTCAACGCCGGAAACGGGCGGCAAAAATTTTTTTTTGAAAAAAAAAAGTTTTTGGTCAAAATTGAATAATTTGTGAAATTTGAGGTCCAATTGAGGTTAAATTAAATTAATGATGAAATTGGAGCATATTAAAGTATGAGGGGCTATTTTAGTCTTTTACAAAAATGTGGACCATGTGTGGACTTATTTGTAAAGAAGTTTTTTGTCTGGATCTCTTTATGAATAAGTACCCATTGATGCGCTTATTTGTAATGACCCCTAATTGAAAAGTTTAATAGCATCCCAATTTACCGACACATTACACAAATATGTTTTATGTTTTGTTAATATATACTCTCTCCGTCCCATATTTTATGTTGTTTTGGGTAGTTGCGCGTATATTACGTTAATCAATAAATATGCAATAAATTAAACAAAAACAAAATATTAAAATACCCTTGTCATTAATTGTTTTTTAATTAACTAATTAGGGATTATTTCACGAAACCCTCTCATCACAAAAGTCCAATTACAATGAGCGCAAATTTATTTCTTATTTATAAGATAAATCCAAAACATCTTTTATTAATAAAAATTAATTAATTTATCACAATTATACCATTACTTTATTATAACGTATGTTAGGGTTGAATATAAATATACCTAATATATGTTCCCTTAATATCACGTTCTCAATCTCACCCACAAATCTCGCTTCACAAATCTCGCCCTTGAATATAACATCCATCACTTTTTTTTTCTCTCTAGATTTTATTTTCTTCTTTCTTCTTTTCTATTCACCGTTGCAGATCTCCTTCCGTTCACCTCTTCTTCTCTCCCACCGGCGATGCCCCAACCCCCATCCGGCGCCGCCCTAGCCGCCGCCCAGCCCCGCCCGGCACCGCTCCAGCACTCGCCCGGCGCCGCCTCAGTCCCCGCCCGGCGCCGCCCCAACCTCCACCCCTATTTCCTCTCTCTTCACCGTCGCCGAACGATATCTATGGGTGGTACAAAAAGGTACATATTTTTTTTCTCGCTTCAATCATCTTTCAATGGTTTTAGGGTTTGTGGGGAAGGTTCCTATTTGATAACGATATTGTGAAAAAGACTATTAATTCTTATCAATTAATTTTTTTTCTTGATCAGATTGATACAGTGACCCTCGTCGGCCCTGTTGGTGGTGGTGTACTGATCTTGCACTTTTTCCTGGATATAGTAGTGACTTACGTTTTAAATAGCGGATTTTTGAATAGTGAATTTATGTTTTTTTTAAGATGTGTTAGTAGTGGATTTCGATAAATTTGTTGTTGATTATGTTATTATTAAAGTGGATTACGTTAATTTTTCGTAATTGGTCTTGCACTTTTTTCTTGGACATAGTAGTGGTTTACGTTTCTAATAGTGGCTTGCGTTTCAAATAACGAGAAGAAGATGATTACACGGACTATGCTCTAGGGTTCATTGGAGAGAAGATGGTGTCTTATATAGTGGGTTTCGATGTTTATATAATTTTGTATCAATAGTGGTTTTCATATTTATATAATTGTTTTATGCAGAGTGGTTTTCATGTTTATATAGATGTTTTCATAGAGTGGTTTTCAAAGTTATAGCGGATTTCGAAGTTTACAGCGGATTCCACACTTTGATAAATCTGCTCGATGTTTTTTTATATATTAAAATAATAAAAATTAATCGAATTAAAAAACAATTAATAAAAAAATAATTAAACAAAATATTTTTTATTTAAGAAAAGTGGGAAAAAAACATTTAAAAAAACCGAAATTAAGAAAAACAAAACTATTAAAAATGAAAATAAAAATAAAACTATTTTTTAAAAATTCAAAATGAAAAAAATGAAATATAAATAAGAAAAAAAAATTAAAATGAAAAACCCAAAAATAAAAAAATTACAAAATAAAAGAAAACCATTAAAAAGAAAAGAAAAAATAGAATTTGAAATGGCGTAATATGGGAGATATTAAGGGGATTAGTATATTTAAAAAAATAATTAATTTTCCTTAATAATAAATGGGGTATTTTGGATAATTCATGTCAATTGGGTTTATAACAAATATCAATTAATAAAAATGGATTTATTATTAAGTATAAATTGAATTATGGGTGTTTGACATATAGCCCCAACTAATTAAGAGTGACAATTAATGTTTTATTGAATCTCTAAAATGATAAATAATTTAGGGAAAATAGGGAAAAAATATAATCAAAAAAGACATCGAATATGGGACATATGAAGTATATTTTAGAGGTTCTTCAATAAAAAAAACCCCAAGACTTTCATTAATAAGGAGATGTCCAACTCATATGTTAGTCTTTAATATAAAGGGTAAATTACAAACACCCCCTGAGGTATGGTCAAATTACAAAAACACCCCTCTTTTTTGGATAATTACAACCACCCCCTCAACTCCTCAAATTTAGTGGAATCTTCGAGATTATATGGAATATTATTACTTTTGTACCCGTTTTATCCCATTCAAACTCTACATTATGAAGCAAGATGATCATTGTATGTGATTTTTAGCTTGTATATATCAGTTTGTGGTGCATCGAAACTGTATTTTTACACTAAACGAGTACAAACTAGAGCACATTTCACTGAATCTAGATGATTATGTTGAATTTGGCACCATAAGGGTGGAGGTGTAAGAAAAAATCATAGTTGAGGGGGGTAGATGTAATTATCCAAACAAGAGGGTTTTTTTTGTAATTTGATCATACCTTTGGGGGGTGTTTGTAATTTACCCTAATATAAAAGCATGCTCATTTCCCATCCTTAATAATCCCAAAATTATCGTTCCACTATCTTTTTCCCACCATTTTTCACTCAACACTATGTCCTGGAAAATTTATATTTGCTTAGATCATCTTCTCGGTATTGTGTCCATTGGTTATTCGTCACCAACTGGTGTAAAGCACGTCTGATAAGTTTATTTAATCATGACAACAATAAACACAAAATGAGTGTTGAAAACTAAAAGAAACTTTGAAGAGATCAATCGATTGTACATAGCCAACCTAATCGAATTATTCATGATAAATAAATTTTACTTGCACAGCATCCCATGAACAATGATGATTCAACTACACAAATCGTATGTATGTAGAGACGGGTTCCACATTTCTAGGTGAACATCTATTATTAAACGCTAGATTCAGAGTGTGAACAACACAAGGTACCCAATAAACATGAGGATACCAACCTTCGATGAGTTCACCAGCCACCTTAGATTTGCTCACATTATCAGTAATGATTTGAACCACTTTTTGATGTTCCACCTAAACGATAACTTATTTTAGTAAACCTGCGATGAAGTGATTATCTTTTAGTTCAGCAGAACAACTAACATAGTTGATAAACATCGGCCTAGAGTCACAACAACCATAATATTGATCAACGGACTTCTTTGTGGGTCACTCCAACCATCACTCACGATGTTAACCTCCTATTCAGACCATGTGCTCTTGATCGGCTCTAACAACCTCTCTGCATGCGTCTTTTCTTGTTCTAGTAATATGGTTATGAATTTGTTATAACCAGGAGGAGGATAACACGGTATCAAGTTATTACAAGCAAATAAAAAAATAGTCACATAGTAAGGATTCCTAGCAAAATTAAAAAGGCGAACCCGCAGTATAAAATATTCTAGCATCTCTCAATCCAATTGATTTCTAGCATTAGCAGGAGGAGGATAACACGGTATCAAAAAAGATAACATAGAGTTATGGGGAGTTAATGGATGACATGGCTCCCCCAATATTTCTTAAATCACCCATAACTCTTTGTTGTCTCCACCACTTCCTGAAACCAATAGTCCGTTAGAACTCTATCGTAATAATGTATCCAATGCATTATCCCATTAGAGTTTATAACTACGCTTCAAGGGGGTGAGTGTAATTATCGATACCACAGGGACCCTAAAGTTATTTAAACATATCTCAGGAGTGTGGATGTAATTTACCCTATTTTTTTACTTGAATGAATTTCATTGATTTTTGGGCCTGTTTTGGGCCTACATTTGGGCTTGTTTTTTATTGATTTTTTTTATTTATGAATTTTGAGTTGATTTATTGATGTTTTTGGGCTGATTTTCGGGCCCAAATGAGCCACAACTAAACCGAAAATCGAACCATTATTGAAACCGGACCGAGAATTTTATGAACCGAGAAGGAACCAAAACTGAACCGAAACCGATCGGTTTGGTTTTTGGTTCTTTAGGAACCAAACACTTCGGTTCCGGTTCAGGTTTGTGCCTAAAACCGAAGCGAACCGACCCGTTCTCACCCCTAACTGGTCATATCTTGGACTCTTTATTTATTTAATGACTGTTGAGAGGTTGATGGTTTCAATATCTTTGGTTATTTGTGTTGCAAGACTATGTTATAAACTTAATTTTAAAAAAAAAAAAAAAAAGAATTATTAGAAATAAAAACAACAAAAATTGAAAAACAATAAACACGGATCGGTACAGATAGGTCTCATCTCTTTTTGTCTGTCTCTGATTTAATTTTATTTTGATAAAAAAGAAAGAAAATGAAATGAAAAGTAAAGTTGAAAAAAGAAAAAGGAAATCTGGTGGCAGCCGCATTCTTTTTTTCTCTACAAAAACCAATATATACAATATACATACACACAGGCAAACACACACATAAATACCACTGCCTGTACCACGAGGCACCAATAATCATCCCTTTCTTCTTCTTCTTCTTCTTCTTCTTCTTCTTTCTCACCATTAATTTCATATTTATATTTTTTTTCCTAACTCGTATTCTTTCTTCAGCAAAATCATCTATGGCTGAGCCACCTAATTATGCAGAGCACGAGTCCGGCGGCAAGTCGTCCACCACCACGACGGGCTCGAAACACCAGTTGAAGAGAACCAGACTAATTAATAGTGATGATGATGATCATCCAGAGGTGATTAATGAAGTTAACAAGAAGAGTAATACAGGTAATATTATTAATCATAATAATAATAATAATAATAATGTGAGCAAGCATCCCGTGTACAGAGGTGTGAGAATGCGGGCATGGGGTAAATGGGTTTCCGAAATCCGTGAGCCTAAGAAGAAGTCTCGTATCTGGCTGGGCACCTTCGCCACGCCGGAGATGGCCGCCCGGGCCCACGACGTCGCCGCACTCGCCATCAAGGGCGGCGACTCGGCCATCCTCAACTTCCCAGAGTTATCTCACCTTCTCCCCCGCCCCGCCACGTGCTCCCCGCGCGACGTTCGGGATGCCGCCAACAAGGCTGCCCTAATGGACCACCTCCACCACCGTGATTCGTCGGAGGAGGACGTTTCGACGGTGGCGCCGGAGGAGCTGGGGGAGATAGTGCGGCTGCCGAGTCTGCTGGGAACCAGTTGTTATGAGTCGGCCGAGGATTTGGTGTTCTCGGACGACGTCGGAATCGGAATCGGAATCGGAATCGGATGGGATTACTACTACATTAATCGGCCGTTGTTGGAGATGAGTTTAGATGATGATTATAATAATGTTTTTTTCTTCCAATAAATTAAAAATGTACACTAGTAGTTGAGGATATATGATGTCTGCCAATTTCGAAGGTCATAATTGCTCATGAAAGTTGACCTCAATGTCAATGGTGTTGTGTGTATGTGTTTGTGTGGTGTTTTATGTGTTTGACCATTTCATTTTTTTTATTTTTTTTCTTTCCTTTGTGCTCTTTTTAATGCAATATATTGGATGGATCCCTTTATTAACATTTTCATAAAGAAAAAGTAACACAATTACTTAGCACTTCCAAATACTTGCCTTCTCATCAATTCTTCTACTTTTCCATTTTCTACTTCTGACAAAGTGAAGGTGTATGTAAACAATAATTAATCATTTAATTGTATAACATAAATATTTATTATTTTTAGTGTCTATTTATAATGTGTAACATAAAATAAAAGGTTTTATTTGACATACAATTGTGTACTGGCACTTTAATTATACGGGATTATAAATTAGGGTTGTCTAGGATGACATCCCAGCAACACCGCTCATGTTTGCGCTATACCCTGAGAATTACACTGGGTGATTATTAACCGTTGATCTGCACACAATCACACACACTTATGTATATGTGTGTAATTTAGTGAGAAATTATTTCACCACATTAACAATTAATAATTACCCGGTGTATTTCACCAGGTGTAGCGTCTCAAAGACCCACAGCTGATCATATGAGTTGTGCCTCTCAAATTGCGCTATGTGTCCCATCAACACAATTGCATTTTTAATGATTTGCGTATTGCTTGAAACACCCTTGTTACAAATATTTAATATTTAAAATGCATGTTAGCATTCAAACTTATAACCCCTTCAAGTATACATGAATACTTACCATTATGACACAACATATTATCGAAAATAATCTAACAATAAGCATATATATATCACAACGCTACAATCTATAATGATTATAAAACTTATATAAATATTGTTAAATAAATTACTAATTCTCATATACTTATTATTATATATTAAAATATCCAATATTAACAAATCTATATATACTAAATTTCAAAAATCTTAGGAAATGCGGATCAACTCGTGTAATTTAAAAATGGATTTTGAAAGAATTACGTCTGAATTGAATCGTAAATCGTAATATTTGAATCAATTAAGCTCATGTGTTTTCAATTCGAAAATAATATTCAAAGATTTGAAACAATTAAGCTCAAGTCATTTCATTTCGTAGACAATATTCAAATATTTGAATCGCTTAAACTCAACAATTTACAATAATGTATTAATCGAAGTAACTAAGTATAGTTAAAGTTTAGTAATTTTTTTTATTGAATTTTATCATAAAAAATAATAAAGTTTAATTTGTAAGATCGTAAGATTTAATCGATTCAAATATTATGGTTGGATTAAATTTTACGATTTACGATTTCATTCTTACAATTTTTACGAAATATATTTATTTTTATTTTTTTGTTAAAATTGAATTAAAAGGATGTTAGGTTTTAGTTATAAATAGTTAACTTGGTTAATACGTTATTATTGTCAATGGTTGAACTTAATCGATTTAAATCTTTGAAAAACATTTAGAAATTGAACAGACTTGAGCTTAATGGATTCAAATCTTACGATTTGATTCTTACGTATGTTAGTAAATAAATTTATTATTTTTTATGATAAATTTAAATTAAAAAGATATTAAACTTTAATTATAAATAGTTACTTCAATTAATACGTTCTTGTCAATTATTAAGCTTAATTGATTCAAATCTTTGATTAACGTTTACTAACTGAAAGGATTTGAGTTTAATCAATTCGAATCATACTATTTGATTAAATCATATATTAAAAGAAAAATCACAATATAATATTTTGAGTATATGATTTTTATTTTAATGTAAGAAAACTAATTGGAATGAGTTATAATCTTTTTCTTTTTCTAATTAAATAAACATCTTATTTTATTTTTTATTCGATTTGTAACACTATCAGTTTAATAACCTAAGTGAGCTTGTATTAAATCATGCATTTGTTTATATTTAATTGAGTATCCTTTATGTTTTTCTATAGTGGAGTTTATTAATTTATAATTAATAATAGATGTTTGGGGATATTGAACCGCATTTCTTTATGTTTTGTAAACTTTATTACATCAAATTTGTTAATAATTTATTTAACATTATTTAATAATAATATATGTCGCATTTAATAATCTATTTAACATTATTTAAATACTTATATTTATTTTCACTTTACATTGTGTCTTACCAATATATAAAATAATTATTAGAAATATTTTTATAAATAATGTGGCCCAATGGTCAGCAGCATTGAATGTATTAAAATGTCCCAAGTCCAATTCTCAACTATGCAATTTTGGACAATTATTCATATAATTGCTTAAGTCGGATTTCTAATACCGCTTGACTTATCCAATTGGATACCGTATGCAAGTGCTATGATATTAAAACCGTGGACACTGCCAATGTCGTTGCTTGATTTTTTGTGAACTTGATTTTCCTTTTAAATTCCTAACATTTACCCAATAATCATATGTTTATTTTTTTTTTTGAAAGTAGAGAAATTTTATTAGGCAATATTGGCCAAATCATACGGAAGCGTAAGTCCTTCTAGTGTATCACTACATTGAAGATGAGCAAGAGCGTGGGCTAAAGAATTGCCCGAACGCTTAACAAACGAGAAAGAAAAGTTCGAGAAAACATTTGCTAAATAAATGCATTCATCGATAATTGCACCGAATGGTAATCTGTCACCTCCACCCGATCGAAGTGCCTGAATTACCTGCAAAGAATCACCCTAAAAAATAACTTCGTTCCATCCGTTCGTAGATGCTAGCATGATGGCATGTAGAGCAGCCATAGCTTCACCTTCGTCAGGACTAAGACTTCCATCAATTCGTACCACTTTCCATCCAACGCATATTCTTTCATGGTTCCGTGCCACCGCTGCAACCACTAACTTTGGTTCTCCACGTCGTATAGCGACATCAAAGTTGATCTTCAACACCCCCATCTCCGGTGGCTTCCACTCCGTCGGGTGAACTAGTTGAAGACTAGGATTTGGTCTGACTTGATTGGATTTGAAGTTCACCAGATAATGGCTACACCAACTAGGCAGTTCGTCGGCACCAATCACCTCCTCATTGTGAATCTCTCTGTCTCGCCTCTCCCACGCCTTCCATGCGATCACCATGGCGCATAAAAAAGTATTCTCATCCAGCGAGTGTTTCATATGTAGCCACCATTGCCACGGGGATGAGAATGCCGCACTTGGGTTGATGCCAAAAGGTGATTTTTCCCAAACCTGGTTCATGCCTTTACATGTAGCGATAACATGTAATGCTGATTCGTTACTAGCTCCGCAACGACGACATGCAGGTGAGGTAATAATCCGGCGACGATGCAACTCCGCATTGGTTGGTAGATTGTTTCCACAAAATCGCCACAGAAAAATCTTAATTTTAGGTGGTATAGGCAACCGCCAAATGCATTTCCAATCACGATTAGCTGTTCCACTAATTGAACCATTATTTCCGATACCCATAGGACTAGATAAATGATGATTATTAAGAATCATATGATAGGCAGATCGCACCGTGAAGTTACCCTTCGACGAGTGGTGCCACACCCAAGAATCATTTGTATGAGGACCGCCTAATGGAATTCCCAAGATCCTGACCACGTCCACTGCCCAAAATATGTTATGCACAAGTTGTAAATTCCACGAATTAGAATCTGATTCCAATAAGTCCGAAACTCGGTCTGGGAAAGCTGAGGATATTGGTCTAGCGGTAATAATTTTGAAATTTCCGCCATCTCTGAGCCATGGGTCAGCCCATATAGATGTGTTTGCCCCGTTTCCTATGCGGCGCCGTAGCCCAGCTTGGAGATAAGGAATGGTTTTCCAGATACACCTCCACGTCGTTGATGGTCGGTAGCCAGTTCCAGCCAATAGAAGATTTCCGTGAGGGAAGTACCTGGCAGCCATTATCCGTGACATAAGCAGGTCTGGGAAGACTAAAATACGCCACGCTTGTTTCATGATCATTGTCGTGTTAAAAGCTCGTAAATCCCTAAACCCGAGACCACCTTGTTCTTTCGATTTGCATAATTCCTTCCACGAAACCCATGCCATGCCTTTACTGTCTCCCTTACCCCACCAAAAGCGTCGAATGACTCGCTCGATTTCCGAAATAAGTCCGTTGGGGAGAAAAAAACAGCTCATGATATAAGCTGGGATAGCTTGTAGAACTGATTTAATTAGCACTTCCTTGCCGGCTTGTGATAGTTGCTTTTCACCCCAACCTTTTACACGGGTCCAAACCCGATCACGTAGATATGAGAAGATCTTTTTTTTAGTCCGACCAATTAATGCAGGCATCCCCAGATATCTATCGTGGCCGTCGACTACCCGAAATTGAAGGATTTGTTGAATAGCTTCTCGTCGATCTAAGGGTGTTGCCGGACAAAAACACATTGTTGATTTGTCAATATTTATTTCCTGCCCCGAGACTCGTGCATATTTTGTGAGGATAGTTTTGAGAGTTGTAGCGCACTCCTCAGTTGCTTTGCCAAATATGAAAGTATCGTCTGCGAAACATAAACTAGAAATCGTAGGAGCACTAGGCGCAACCTGAACCCCATGAAAGTCTCCCCTTTCCGTTGCTCTTGTAATCATTGCAGTCAATGCCTCTGCACAACAAATGAAGAGATAGGGGGAGAGCGGATCCCCTTGTCGTAATCCTCGAGTTGGGCGAACCGAGCCAAACTGTGAGCCATTAAATAAAAACGAAAATGAGACCGAAGAAACACAAAGCATGATGAGATCCACAAATTGAGGCGGTAATCCAAAACGAAGCAATATCTTTTTAAGAAAACCCCATTCGATACGATCATAAGCCTTACTTATATCCAATTTAAGAGCCATATAATTATTATTCTTATTAGAGTTAAGCTTGATAAAATGATTAATTTCATAGGCTACCAGGATATTGTCGGAGATTGGGCGTTTCGGGACAAAAGCAGATTGGGTAGGAGATATGAGATCGTTAAGAATAAGTTTAAAACGATTGGCAATGACTTTGGCTCCAAATTTGTATACAACGTTACACAAGCTAATTGGTCTATAGTCGGTGATTCTTTCCGGCCTTTTTACCTTTGGAATTAGGACAATATATGTATAGTTCAATTCCGATGGGAGTTTATGATGGTTAAGAAATTCAAGAACACATGAAAGGACATCGGACCCCAGAATATGCCAAAATTTAGTAAAAAAGATAACGGGGAGGCCATCGGGGCCGGGGGATTTGAGAGGAGCCATTTGAGAAATGGCTCGAGTTACCTCCTCCGCGGTGAAGGGAATAGAAAGCAAGTGACTGGCCGCACTAGATATCCTGTTCTCCACGTTCATCAAAACCTCTTCTATCTCATCCTCAATTGGCTCGGTAGAAGTGAAGAGCTGATTGAAATAATCAGATATAATCTGCTCAATCTCATGATGGGAATCCGTCCATTCCCCGTCCGCTCCTTTAAGTCGTTCCATTCTATTAATTCTGTGACGCGATGTAGCCTTAGCATGGAAGAATTTAGTATTCCGATCCCCTTCTTGGATCCATTGAATCTTGTTGCGCTGCCTCCAATACATATTGTTATCCTCATATGCTCTCTCCAGTTCCAATTTCAGAACCCGAATCTGCTGTTTTGTTCTTTCCGATTGTGTGATTCCCTGAAGATAAAGGATTCGCCGATTGAGTTGATTGATTCGTTTCCGCGGAGCCTGGACCGTGGCCTTGTTCCATTGAATAAGAGCGAGCCGAAGACCTTTTTGCTTCTGCACAACAGCTTCGATTGGGTCCGAGATCCCTTCGTTTTGCCAGTTTTGTTGAACAATCTCCTCACAATCGTCTCTACGTAGCCATATAGCCTCAAACCGAAATGGTCGCTTCTTTCGTCGTCTAGAATCTGTCTGAGGGGGGTCAAGGACGAGTCGAAGTGGGACGTGGTCAGAACCTGAGTACGCCATATGATGTACCGAGGCTCTAGGGAACTTTAGTAACCAATCAGCACTAGCACATACTCTGTCGAGTCGACATCTGACCGTATATGGGTGGTCCCGGTTGTTCGACCAGGTAAAACGAGGTCCTTCAAATTCCAGATCCATCATATGTTTAACTATATTCACCTAAAACATAAAATAACAATACTAAAATAACATCAAGCCAATAAAAATACCAAAGGAACGAGTTGTAATTTAAGTGTAAAAGCTATGAAATATGGTGCAAATCATGCAATCAATCCCCCCCCCCCCCCCCCCCAAACTTAGACTTTTGCTCGTTCTGAGCGAAAGAAACTGAGGAACAAAAATGAAACATGAAACATAACCAATAATAGAAAGCCATTTTTTAAGAAAATTACGGTTGCATTTAGCACATACAACAAGCTTTTATCCCATTATTTTACCCCTAGTGGACGAGTATATTGTTGTAAGGTTTGCAGGCTCTGTTACACAGATACGGCTGAAGGGACAAGTTTCCCCGTGTCAGATGCGTTTCTGACACGAAACGCGATGATACGCGTACTATACGCTTGTGGGGCGTATCTGTAATATTTAAATACTTGGACACGGGTATCCAAAATTGACACGCGTGAAAGAAGGAAAAAAAAGGTTTTTTTTCTGAAAAAGCCCAAACCTATTCTACTTCTGTTGTGCCCTACTGCAGTATTATTCTTTTCTCTTTCCAACTATTCTGCCTCTATCTATCTTTCGTTGGAAGAAAACTAATAATATATATACATATATATATATATATATATGTAAGTTTTAATATTGTAAAAAAGCACAAAAAAACTTTTTTAATAATTTACAAATAGACCCCTATATTTTTTTATATTTACACGTATCCCCCACGTTCCCGTGTCCTACTTTTTTTAATTAAAGGTTTCCCCGTGTCCGTGTCTGTGTGTCGCCGTGTCCCCGTTCCCGTGTCTATGTAACATAGTAATTGCAGGGAATCAACCACATAATTCAACAAATTTTCACATTATCCATCAATCAAGCTTTCGACGTAAATTAAGTACCAAACATTGCATTGCACCGATAAAATTCGAACCTCAATCGACAAAAGAACTTTACGCCAAACTCAATGCATCAATTATCCTAACAACGAGTCTCAATAACATGCAACACATCATTCACTACACTGTGGAGTTTCATATTTAACTCAACATTCAATTTCTCGAAACAACCTACCAATCTGAACATTTTTTTACAGCGCAACCCACAGGACTTTCTAATTCATTCATGTAATGATTTTTTAGCCAATGACTCTCAGAAGAGCTGGTTTTAGGGCACTAAGTGTAAAACACCATACACGCTTACTTTTTCGAATAAAAAAGCTTCGAATCAACACCTCATAAATGGAAATCTACTTTCAACAATATTTTTATCCTCTACAATCACACAATCCACTGGGATTTCTAAGTGGACCATGTAGCGATCTTTCAACAAACAACTCCCATATGAGTTGGCTTTATGTTGGAACTTCGACTGCACTTTGATGATTGATCACAAAATTAGCGGACTCCATTTGCTCTCTCGTTTTATTGGTAACAAGTTGCTGAAATTAAAACCACGATAATATGAAGATAGACAGGCAAGGTCATGAGGCGCGGACTAGGTCGCTCTTAAGACGAATTTCACGACCCCTTCTCAAATGAAGTGCAAAAAGGTTCCGATCGTGTCGCCTATGGGATACAACAACCCAGCCTATATCTCCGATGTAACTTCACTGAAACTGCACGTTTAAGTGAAGCAGAAGCTTACACCCGATACATAAAAAAGCTCAAAGTATACGTATATATATCTTCTCGTGTACTCTCATCTCTCATACTCTTACAAAGTCACAATGCCCCATTTCTATAGTATATAATATGACCCCCATAAAACCTCTATTTAATATAAAATTAAATAAATTTATGGTGTTTTATATAGAAGAATAATGATTTTGAAGGTTTCAAACTAGTGATCTAAATAAGCTCATCAAACTAAAAGTGGTCAAAATTAATATTATATTTTTATAATAAAATATATTATTTTTATTAAAATAGCCCAACAATTTATATGTACAAGGCTTGCGCGGGTCTACTTGGTAAAATCACACTAAAAGAAAACAGGGCTTCACCGACGGAAAATGTTTTGTTCATTGAAAGAAAGCCACTGTTAGACTTTCTTGTGGAAATGTCAAATGAATTGAAGTTCAAGAACATGGTTCTTTGTTGTCGGATGTTCACAACATAGAGAAGGTAAATAAATTAAGAATAAGCATTCTTGGAATCATTTACTCCATTTTATAGTGTAAAATATTAATTGTAGTTTTTACGGTGCCAATTCTAGGAGAATGACGACATCGTGACTGCTTCATCTGAGAGCTTTGTGTAAAAATTTCTAAACATGATTCATGTGGAGAACGAATGAAATTTTATTGTACTAGTTGATGTACACAGATATTTACCGAGTTGAGTTTTTTATGTAAATGGCTGTAGCATTTGTTTATCACCATTTATGAGTGATTTATATTTCTGATATTTATGCTAGTTTAATGCACACGAGTGTAAATTAGGTGATATTGATTACAAGTAATCAATAATAAATTAAAATAATTTTTTCACCAATGAAAATTCCGATTGGCAGAATTAGTTAATGAATCACTAACAGAATTAGGTAATATACATATAAATTAAACAAACAGTTTAAAAAAAGAAAAAAAAACTAATACATAAATAAATCAGCGAAAATGCTAAATGAAGGACCAGAAATGCTGAACGCAATTTGACCGAAAATTGCATATAAGGGCAGTATAGTACTTTCGCCTCTCCAAGGTGTATGTATGCCAAATGATGATTTTGGTTTGGGTTTATCCCTAGTTATTTTGGTACCTAGGGGTGTATATAAAATAAGCTCGATAGCGATCGACGATACTTTTTTGGTATTCTAAGCATACGGTTGTGTTGAATGTATAATACGACGCTTTTCAATATTTAAATTTAAAGATTTTTTTTAATTTATATAGCCATTACATGGCTCTAAAACATGTTTTAAAACATCAATAAACTATATGTTATGTAACGAAAAGGTATCGCCGCTAAATGTCGTTATTTTAATTGCTATTGAATTTCTAATAATGTTTAATAAGTTACTAATACTAAATATTAATTTTGTTTTCTTATATAATTTAAAATATTGAGTTTATAAACAATCAAGACAAAATTTAATGTGGTTGACATAAGTATCACTTAAAATTCAAGGAACAAAATAAAGAAATAAAACAATGAATAACCATCTTACAATATGATTACAACAATAAAATTTAAACATTCAAGTTTCCATCTCTATATCTTTCCAGACATGCTCGACAAGGTCATTTTTTTAGCATAAAAAAGCGAGTTATATCTCCAAGCCTGGCATAGTTGCTTAATATTCTGCAATGGTTATTGTGTCTCGACTAAGCGTAACAGGTTGCTGCACCGCCTAGACCATTCATGGATCCTTGACAAAATCATCACCTTCTTGATTGTTGTTGTCTTCTACGATCATATTATAAAGAATTATACAACATTTCATAACATCACCAGTTTGTGCACTATGCCATAATCGATAAGGTCCTGTAATGAACTCAAATCGAGATCATTAATGCCAAAAGTTCTTTCAACATCCTTTTGATATGCCTCTTGCAACCTCGTAAATAATTGTCTATCACGTTCTTGTGGACCAACGTGGATAAATACCATCTGCTAGATGATATCGTTACTTGTATACTCTACCATTTATAGTAAATCGAATACTTGTGGCTAGACCTTCGACAACATCATTGAAAATAGGTGAGCTATATAATACATTAACATCTTTACACGCACCTGGTGGTCCAAAGTATGAATGTCGAATCCAAGTATCATATGATGCTACGACTTCTAGTATTATTGTAGGTTTGCCATATCGCCTAAAATATGTACCAGCCCACGCGGTTGGAGAATTTTTCCATTCCCAATGCATACAATCCACACTTCCTAGCATTCTAGGAAATCCTCCTTGCTCTGCTTTTCTAAATAGTCTAACCATATCTGCATTGTTAGGTCGTCGAAGATACTCCTCTCCATACGATGCAATGACAGCACGAAAAAAATGCTTCAAAGCATTTGAAGATGTGGTAGCTGTTATTTTTAAATACTCGTCAGTTGCATGTGCAGGATATCTGTAAGCCAATATACGAAGTGCAGCTGTCATCTTGACATGGGGTAAAAAACCTTACTTTCCCAGCATCCGGCATTTGCTTAAAGTAATCATCAAAATGTACGATATCATTCATAACTCGGAAAATAATTCACGCCTCATACGATTTCTAGTTCGAAAATCTTCAGGAGGATATAAAGGACGATCTACAAAATAATCATTCATAAGTCCGTCATGCGCAACTATTCGGTCCCTTCTTATGGAATTCCGGCGTGATGATGTTCCTCCATGTTGTGTTTTGCACTTTCCCTGTGAAGCCAACACGAGTATTTGGTATTCCACTTACATCATTGTCGTCATTGTGTGGCCTTTATTGTCTTCGTTGTCGTCGGAGTTACCGTTTCCTTGTTGTTCCATTTTCGTTTTATAAATAGTTAACTAGATTGTATATAGAATGTGTGGTGATTGTGTCTAGAATGTGTGGTGATTGTGTAACGGGTGAGGAGTAACATTATATAATAAAATGAATAGATAATAGATAATAATTAGATGGCCGAGATTGAACATGAAAATTCAATTTAATGGATTATAGTTGGATAAGATGATGAAAATCTGAATAAGATAATCAAGTTGTGGATAAGATTATTATATAAAAATTTAATGGATGAGATCAATTGAAATCATATCCAATGGTTGTAGTTCAATATTTCATATATTTTCAGATTTTTTCATGGACGAGATGTGGATAAGATAATTAGATAAAAAATTAATGGGCGAGATCAATTGAAATCATATCCAACGATTGTAGTTCAATATTTCATATCTTTTCAGAATTTTTCATTCGATCAAAATGTGTATAAAAATAATTAAGATTGTTCAAATAAAATTTAATTGTCCACAATCTCTTATACAAATAAAATTTGAGCCCCTAATCAAATTACTACATAAAATAATCCGTAACATGATTTAGAGAATCAAAATTATAGAACCCTCCATTGTGGAATTATTTTTTCAGTGACAGCATAATTCTATCAAATTTCCAAATCAGAATTTAGATACCTGATTTGGAGACTTCATTGGAGATGCACTTAAAGAGCAGTGGTACCGCAAATTATGCTCCCTATATGATTCAAAGGTTATCACGATTCTTATTTTTAATTAATCACGACTCTTCGTTAAGTTCACAATCTTGGCCCATGGACTGAAAAATTTATACGCTTCCCTTTTATTTTTATTAATAATAACTAGTAATACACCCGTGCGATGCACGGTGAATATTATGATAATTGTTTCGTCATATTGTAACACATAATCGAATCCATAGAGATATATATATATATATATATATATATATATATATATATATATATATATATATATATATATATGGAGTGAATATTAGTAGTGGTCGTTAAAATAAATATGATGAACATTTTTCAATGATATTAGAAAGTTATATGAAATAATATAAATACTTATATGTTACACTTAAAATACATATATTGTTCTAACCAAATGATACAACACTTCTTCAATGCACCTACATCATCAATAAAAATAACATCACAATGATAATAAATTTTGGGTTCAAATCAACCATTACTATTAAAGTAACATCCACCAAAAAATATTTTTATTAAATTACCTTGGGAGAAAGTATGTTGGAGAGTACTTATTGCCAATAGACCTGTACGTGCATGAAATGTATTAATAAAAATAATAAAAAAGATACCATATTGTTTGAAAATGTGATGTTAATAAATATGTACCTCAAATTCGTTGAAACACTTCTTTGTACACAACATTATTAGTGAAATTGCACAGTTCTCCCGATTCAGAGGAGATGAGTATTTTTATGCCAGACCTACTTTTTACTCTAGACAATGCCACATATAATTGTCCGTGGCTGAAAACAGGGCGTGGAAGGTATAGTCCGACATGTGAAAGTGTTTGTCCTTGACTTTTGTTAATCGTCATGCCAAATGAAACAATCACCGGAAATTGTCGCCGTTGAAATTTGATTGGCAATGTGCAATTTGAAGGTATCAAAGTCATTCGAGGAATGAATACTGATGATGCTAAAAATAGATAACTTTATATAGTTGAGATTGAAGGAGCTGGGAAAGCAAAGTGGGTCACTGCTCACGTGCTAGATAGCCCTGAGATACCTGCGAACAAAAAACACATGAACTAGGCCGGGGGTTGATCCGGCGGAAACCCCTCCGACGCTCAAGTCAGACGTGCGGATAATGGAAATAGTTGGGAGAATATGACCCCTAGTATTATTTGGATAATAGGGCGTACCTTTAGCAAATGAATTATATCGTTATTTATACCATAGATGAGATCGTTGAGCCCAAACCTTATTTGAAGGTGATTGGGCCTCGGTGATATTAGTCTTCAATATTGGGCTCGTGGCCCAGTAGGTAAATAAATTGTAAGTCCATTGGGTTGGCCCAATTAGGCATATCAAATACCATATCACCAACATGTTTACCAGAAAGAATCTTACAGTTAATAACGTGGGTTCCCATTTGAGTAACTTGAAGCCTAGTTCCATTGCACAATCCTCTAGCTTGATCAATATTTCTTATGAGCATAACCGGAACCCCAATTTTTAATCTCAACTTATGTGAAGGAAGTCCGGAGCATTTTATGGTATTGAGGAATTCTGCTGAATAAATTTCCGCGTTAACTTCAGAAGTTGCCTCATCTTTGCAAATACTATCTGAGCTTAAATATTCCTTCTCTTCTCCAGGGATGAGTGACGACAAATAATCATTAATAAAATCCACACTTTCATTAGTCGGTCCAAGAATTGCCCTACATTGAAAGTAATTTGGAGTAAAAATATTACTTAAGAAATCTGGATAAACAAACGGCAACAACTCTGAAAAGGGGTCGTCCGAATCATGAATTAACATATCATGTGGAATTTCAATAGAAACTTCACCATCGTTTTCCTCTCCAACCTCACCATTACCAATTTTTAGTATCCGATCTGCAAATTCCTTTATTTCTTCTACAGTAGAGGAAGAAGTAGAAGATTGAAGTCTCATATTCTTGTGTAACGTTAGGACTTTACAATTTTTCCACAAAGGTGATGAATTGATCGTGGCATGAACAATATCTTGTATGGATGCTTTTAAAATAACCGGCAAAACTTGCCTAAAATCCCCTCCAAGAACGACCACCTTACCACCAAAAGGTTCGTCCGACTGTAAGATAGATCTCATGGTGCTATCTAGTGCTTCGAATCAATATCTATGCATCATTGGCGCTTCATCTCATATAATAAGATTTGCTTTCATCAATAACTCTGCCTGTGGACTTTGTTGACTGATGCTGCAAGTGGAACCCTCATGCACAATTATTGGGAGTCCAAATCTAGAATGAGCTGTTCTACCGCCGGCAAGTAGTAGGGATGCAATATCACTTGATGCAACATTAATAACAATTTCTCCTCTGGAACAAATCGCAGCTGATAATGTTTTCCATATAAATGTCTTTCCTGTCCCACCATGGCCATACAAAAAGTACATTCCACCACTCTTGTTTGTTACAGCAGACATGATTGTATCATAAACTTTCTTCTGCTCTGTGGTGATAGTAGAGAGATACTTTGCAAGTTCGTCACGCATTGCAAACACATCATACTCTAGTTCATCGAGTACTAACCTATTTCCACTTTCATTTAACAACGATTCAATTGGAAGCGGCATAGAGTCATAATTACGTAAACTCTTACTGTTGCTTTGCATGATTTTCTCAATATCAAGTAAAGCATAATTTTTCAAGCTGTCGTCTGATAAAGTCAAATATGCGTTTATGAAGAGATGATAATATTTTATCAAGGTTGTTTGCTTGAAAAAAAAAATAGAAGTTAAAATTAAATTACTGAACAAATGAAAATATTATACATAGGACATTTAAAAAATGAGATACCTGGATTATTATGACGTTGTTGGTGTTTGTATGCAATATCATCCGACAAATCTGACCAACAGCTTTCCCAAACATGTTCTGGTCTGGTTAAACTATTTGAAATCAACAGGACAACAAATAACCTTCGGATGTAAGCACCGTTTGCCCATATACTTGCTTCTTTGATAGCATCTATGTATTCTTTATCATCATCTAATAATCCCAATACATAGCATGCATCTCTAAATGTTGGGTAAATGTTGTTATTCACAGTTCTGATATCTTCAAAGCTTGTGCAACCTTTTTGAATATTAAGTAGCAGTCTTAGGTAGTAGTCTTCTCCCTTTCCCGGGGGAACACTTCTAATTCTTCCAATTGCAAACCCTCTTTTTCTAGGCTGCCACCTCAAGGAGTTTTCATTGTACACGAATTGTTGTGGAAAATCTGCATACTTAATATCTCTAGCTTCTGAATACCTCTTATTTGCTTCAAACCAAGCTAAGAACATTGTTTGTTTAGCAGACGGTTTGTTCAGCACATTATGTAAATGTTGGTTATCATTGAAGACAGTCAGGCAGATGAAAACTCAATCGCACTACAGCTGGGTCTCTATAGTGAATATCAAATCCAAATAACCTCCAAGTGGCCTCGCAAGCCGATAGGTACCTACACCAATAATAGTTTAGAATAGTGTACTCGATGTTAATTAATAATAATAATAATAGTAATAATAATAATAATAATAATAATAATAATAATAATAATAATAATAATAATAATAATAATAATAATAATAATAATAATAATAATAATAATAATAATAATAATAATAATAATAATAATAATAATAATAATATTAATAATAATAATAATAATAATAATAATAATAATAATAATAATAATAATAATAATAATAATAATAATAATAATAATAATAATAATAATAATAATAATAATAATAATAATTATTATTATTATTACCTGCAGTCATAATACATCTTTATCTCATCATGAATATCTGGACCACCATGTGTGTTTTGAGACTTGTGAAATGCAACTGTAACCCTATCATACCCTTTATTGACGCACTTGAACAGATATTTGATGGACTTATTCTGGTTGCACAACTCAATGTTGATGTGAGCTCTGTATTTCAGCAATAGATCACGGTTATACGGGACCACAAAACCGTTGTCTAGTACAACATTCTTCTTCGTAACAGTCCTCCCATTGTCCCTTCTCTTGTATGAATGATAACCATCTTCACCAGCCTCCGTACGTTGAACAAACCTCTTCGGAAATTGTTTTGAGCAAACACCATTATTCATGCATGGAGACTTCATATTAGCTTGACCACACGGACCGTGAATCATGTATTTCTTGACCAATTTATACATTTTTCTATCAGAAATTTTGTCAGGAATTTATGCACTAATAATTCGATCAATATCTTCGGAGCAATTGGATTTGTCGTCATTATGCAGCCAAAGTAGTATATGCGCATGTGGCTGTCCGCGCTTTTGAAATTCAATTGTACAAACGTCTGCATTTAACATTTATAAAGAAATTAATATCAGTTTGGTAACATGCAATTATGATGTGGCATACTGAACCATAAGTAAATAAAAGATAACATTATGTTATCTGGAAAATATTTGAATGTGTGAAATCAATATTATTTTGGTATGATTCAAGGGTTATCAGGATTCTTATTTTTAATTAATCACGACTCTCCGTTAAGTTCACAATCTTGGCCCATGTACTGAAAAATTTATACGCTTCCCTTTTATTTTTATTAATAATAATAATAAGAAACAACTCTTCCTTCAGTTTACAATATTGGCCTCTTTGACTAACCGCCGTCGTTTGGGTAAAATAATGCCCGACTGAGAGAGAACCTAGACTCTGATCGCCGGCGGAAAATGGAAGCGCCGATTCTTCTCGAAGATTTCGGTCAGAAGGTCGATTTAACTCGTAGGATCAGAGAGATTCTGTTGAATTACCCGGAGGGCACTACCGTTCTCAAGGAGCTCATCCAGAACGCCGACGATGCCGGTGCCACCACCGTCCGTCTCTGCCTTGATCGGAGGACTCACGGCGTCGACTCTCTCCTCTCCGATAGCCTCGCCTCGTGGCAGGGACCTGCCCTACTTGCCTATAACGACGCCGTTTTCTCTGAACAGGATTTCGTCAGTATTTCTCGAATTGGTGGCAGCTCTAAACATGCCGATGCTTGGAAAACTGGCCGCTTTGGGTAACTAATACCTCTTTCTTTGTTTTTTTGAAATTTGTTAGTAGCTGTTAATGTGTATGTGGTGTGGTGCCTTGACAAATTCATCAATCTGTGAAAGCATTCATTTGCACCAACCGTTTGTGCGGTTTCTAATTGCTAACCCCGATTGCTTTGCTATGAATCATAAGATAATTCAAAATATTGGTGTTCCGTTGCTTAGAAAACGTCGATCAACCACAAGAGGGATTGATAGACAGAACATGAAAAAATGAGCTAAAAAACGAGCTAAATAAACGTAACAACTACAAGTACTATTCTGAATTTTGCTTGCCCTTTGACATAAAATCTGCCCCTAAACTTGATCAATTTTGCACGTGAACTTGGGTTTATCATAAATGTTTTTCCTATATATATGTATATCATTTTGTCTGGTTCATTTGCTCAATTATTTTCTTTAATTCAATATGAAATTTCTTTCTCAAGGGAGATATAGAGAAACAGCTATAATCAATCAATTTAGTCATGCATTTAATGAATGAAACAGAGACTTAGTAGACTGAAGTTTCGATAAATATTTTGGGTAAATCTTAGGCTTTGATTCGATCGTGGATTCTAAGATTCCAAGTATGTTTGGATTCTGAGAAAATTTGTGATGAAAATGATTCTTTGGTGAACCACTTTCTCTAATTTTGTTTGCTAATGAGAACAAAAGAATAAAATAAACAAAATAAATGAAATTTTGCTCGGCAATGACAACAAAAGAAAAAAAATGATAAAGACCTGCTAGACTTTTCCTTGTCTAAAAGGCAAAATTATTTTCCATTTCGATTTCAAATTACTTTAATTATCACTTTATTTCTTAACCAGAAAAGAAAGATATTTTACATGGCACGACAAGTTTGCTAGTAATCACAATAAACAAATATATGATTGAAAAACACAATGAAACTATACCTTATATGAGTTTTAAGTCTGTTATACACTAGGAAGGTGAAAAATTCTACATATCAAGTTACTGTTGCCTCTGTCCAACCAAATCTATCATTAATACAGTTTGATGTAATATTCTATTATATTAAGTGCATAGTTATAATCCCATGCAACCTCTTTGAACCTCGCAATTCACATCTGTTGGATAGAAGAACCCTGAAGCAAGTCTCAATGACAGTCATCACTCCGTGATTATAAAAGATGCCATTGTGATGAAATCTCAATTTCCCTTTTACATTTTTCTCATTCTTCAGTCAGATAAATTTTGCATAGTATGTCCTCCTTCCCTCACATTTGAATGTTGAATACCTAACAAAATTGTGAGGCTAATGTTTAATGCTAGAATAATTGTTAGCCAGTCTTACTTTACTCTGTAAAGCCTTTAAAGTTGGCTCCGCATATACTATACATATTAAATTGTAGTCCATCTGTGATTCAGGTTCATTTCTTATCTCTCTGTACAAGTAGAATTAAAGATATTGAGCTTGAAAATAGGGAAGAGTTGCACCAAGCTGCATTTTAAACCTTTATATAGCTGAAAGTTGCCAAATTCACCTTTTTTATAGCTGGATATAACTTTATAATTTGTTTTCGTTTCATTGCCATATGATTGTGGTCAATTCCAATGTTTTGAAGTAAAAAATGTTAATGAATTATTTAGTTACATTTGTTGGTTACCGTGTGCATGTCATGAATCGATGTTGCTATTGCCTTTCCCATATTTTAATTTAGGCATTCAATTTCTGTGTTAAAAGATTGGCGGTGTAATTTGTCAAGTTGCATGAGCGTATTCATGATTTGGTGCAATAGGCAATACATGGAAGTCCTACTTTGAGTTATGCTGATCCTTGATGTGTGAATAATATGCTTTTTAAAAGTTGTGTGGTATCTTTGGAGCTTCAGTTTGTTACTTATGTTTCTCCTGTGAAATGGATATATCTCTAATTCTCATTTTTCTAGGGTGGGCTTCAACTCGGTATACCATTTAACCGACTTGCCTTCTTTTGTGAGCGGCAAACATGCTGTTATATTTGATCCACAGGGTGTTTATCTTCCCAATGTCTCCACTACTAATCCTGGAAAGCGGATAGAGTACGTTAGTTCCTCTGCCATCTCACTGTATAAAGATCAATTTTTACCATATTGTGCCTTCGGTTGTGACATGAAAAGTCCTTTCCAAGGAACTTTATTTCGTTTTCCTTTGAGGAATACAGATCAGGCTGCAAATAGTAAACTCTCAAAGCAAGCTTACCTTGAAGATGATATATCCTCCATGTTTGTTCAGCTTTATGAGGAAGGAATTCTATTGCTGCTTTTTCTTAAAAGCGTGTTATCTATAGAAATGTATATCTGGGATTTAGGGATGTCTGAGCCAAGGAAGATGTACGCCTGCTCTATTAATTCGTCAAGTAGCGATGTATTGTGGCATCGCCAGGCAGTTCATAGACTCGCGAAGTTGAAATCTTCTTCTGATTGTGAGATGGACTCATTTTCACTGGATTTCTTGAGTGAGGCTGCAATAGGGAATGTTTCACAAATAAGAAAGCATAAGTTCCATGTGGTGCAAATGATGGCTTCACCATCCAGTAGAATTGGTGCTTTTGCAGCAATGGCAACAAAGGATTATGACATGCATCTGTTGCCCTGGGCATCCGTTGCAGCGTGCATATCAGATGATTCAGTTAATGTAATTCCCTTCACTTACAGTAGTTGTAGGGTGCTATTTTTCTAGTCCGCATGCCTTCATTCTCTCCTGCTATTTATATTTATCTTTCCATTTGAACATTTACAGTATGCATATGTGTGTGTAATCTTGCATTTGGGATTCATATACATTTTTGTATACTAGTAGCACTCAACTTCTAGTAATAACATATATCGCTAATGGTGTTACTTGTTTTGAGCAGTGTCAACATTTGCTGGATATCTTGAATTTATTTCGTCATGCATGCGGGGATTTTAATGCTTCTTTCTTCGCCCGAGTCCCAAAGTGTAAAATTTTAGATTTTAGTTCTGTGAAGTGTCTTATATTTTTCTGAAGTGGTGATATGTGGTGGGGGTGCATTTTTATCATCACCTACTAATTCTATGTTGCTGCCTACAAAAATAAAGTTCCTATAGATAATTTGTATTATTTAGATGGTTGTGCATAGTGGGTCCGGTAGTAGTGCATCTACTCATCCTTCAATGTCAAAGACACATAATTTTGGTATTGCTCCACTTCTAGTCGTATTTGTGATAGGTTTAGCAGATGAAAAAGTACCATAGTTGAAATTTGCTTTCTTTTCTTTGTAATCTAACAACTTCACTAGTTGCAGTTGATTACTGCATATAATAAATGTGAAAGCTCTCATCTTAACTGTTGCACTCTTTTGTATACTTATGCAATACAATTTTCATGTGAATCACAACAGGACGAAGATCTGAAGATTGGAAGGGCATTCTGTTTTCTCCCGTTGCCTGTGAAAACTGGGTTACGTGTTCAAATTAATGGATTCTTTGAGGTTTCTTCAAATCGTCGTGGGATTTGGTATGGTGATGACATGGACAGATCCGGAAAGATTCGTTCTCTCTGGAACAGTCTTCTATTGGAATATGTTGTTGCACCTAGTTTTGTCAAGTTACTGCTCGACATGCGGCAACTCCAATGTTCCACAAAAAACTATTATTCTTTGTGGCCTGTCGGTTCATTTGAAGAACCTTGGAATTTGTTAGTTGGGCATTTTTACAGAAACATCTGGGAGTCTCCTGTTTTATATTCGGATGTTGATGGTGGAAAGTGGGTTTCACCTAAGGAAGCGTTTCTTCATCCCACGGAGATTTCCGGAAGCAAGGAAATCGGCAATGTTCTTGTCAAGTTGGGAATGCCTATTGTTTCTTTGCCAGGCGACTTATATGATATGATCTTAAGCTGCAAATTTATCGGGCATCAAAAAGTTGTTACTCCTGATTCAGTACGTCATTATTTGAGGGGTTGCAAAGATTTAAGTGCAATTAGCAGATCCCACAAGTTTATGCTGTTGGAGTATTGCATTGAGGACTTGATTGATACAGAGGTTGGTATTCATGCATCACACCTTCCATTGCTTCCATTAGCAAATGGTAATTTTGGATCGTTATCCAAATCATCTGAAGGGACCGCTTATTTTATTTGCAATGAGTTGGAATATATGTTGGTTCAACAAATTGTTGATAGACTAATTGATAGGAGCATTCCTGCGGAGCTCCTCTGCAGACTTACATCCATAGCAAATGTCTCGGGGGCAAACCTGGTTGTATTTAGTGTAAATGAGTTCCTTCAATCATTTTCAGAATTTTTTCCTGCAGATTGGAAATATAAGACGAAGGTGTCGTGGAATCCAGATTCCAATTCTGCTCATCCTACTTCTTCTTGGTTTTCTCTTTTTTGGCGTTACCTTGGGGAGCAATGTCAAGATTTATCTCTCTTTGGAGATTGGCCTATAATACCATCGGTAACTGGGCATCTGTACAAGCCTTGTATGCAGAAAAAGTTTCTGAATATGGAAAAATTGTCTGAGAAAATGCAACATGTCCTTGTTAAGATAGGATGCAAGATACTGAACACCAATTATTGCATCGAACACCCTCATCTGATTAATTATGTGCATGATGCTGATGCTGCAGGCGTTCTATATTCAATCTATGATGTATTTTCTAATGATACTATTACTCAGCTTCTTCAGTGTCTGGAAGCAAATGAGAGAGATGAGCTTCGTCAATTTCTTCTGAATCCTACATGGTTTGTTGGAAAGAAAATGGATGATCCTCTCATACAGAATAGCAAGTGGCTTCCAATTTATAGAGTGTATGGTGGAGAATCTGTTGCAAATCTCAACTATTCTGATTTAGTAAACCCCCGTAAGTTCTTACCCCCATTTGACTGCCCAGAATGCTTGTTTTCTGGTGAATTCATATGTAATTTGTCAAACACTGAAGAAGAGTTGCTAATGAGATACTATGGTATCGAACGGATGAGAAAGCCACAGTTTTATAAGTTGCATGTCTTGAATAGGCTAAAGCAGCTGGAAAGTGATGTTCGCAACAGGGTCATGCTTTCTGTTCTTCAAGAGCTACCACAGTTATGTGTAGAGGATGCATCCTTCAGGGAAAGCTTAAGAAATTTGGAATTTGTCCCCACTGTTAGTGGCAATCTGAAAAGCCCTGCAGTGTTATTTGATCCAAGAAATGAAGAATTGTATGCTTTACTGGAAGATTGTGATAGTTTTCCTTCTGGGATTTTCCAAGAATCAGGTGTCTTAGACATGTTACAAGGGCTGGGTCTCAAAACAACTGCCTCTGTTGATGCAGTCATTCAAAGTGCTCGTTCTGTGGAACTCTTAATGCATAAAAATCCGGAAAAAGCTCATTCAAGAGGGAAGGTACTTCTTTCATATCTTGAAGTGAATGCATTAAAGTGGCTACCTGATCCTCCAGTGGATGATCAAAGAACAGTGAATAGGTTGTTCTTCAGAGCTACAAATGCATTTAAATCCCGTCATACCAAATCAGACATAGAGAAGTTCTGGAATGAGCTCAGGCTGATTTCATGGTGCCCTGTCCTTATATATCCGCCACACACATCATTACCATGGCCCACAGTCTCGTCGTTGGTTGCTCCTCCTAAGCTTGTGAGGCTATACTCAGACATGTGGCTTGTCTCTGCGAGTATGCGGATACTGGATGGAGAGTGCTCCTCATCATCATTGTCCTATCAGCTTGGTTGGTCTAACCCTCCAGGAGGAAGTGTAATTGCTGCTCAGCTGCTTGAGCTTGGGAAAAATAATGAGATCATATCCGATCCCATTCTGCGACAGGAACTGGCTTTGGCAATGCCAAGGATATATTCCATCTTGATGACCTTGCTTGGTTCGGATGAAATTGAAATTGTAAAGGCTGTTCTAGAAGGTTCTCGGTGGATATGGGTCGGAGATGGATTTGCCACCTCAAATGAGGTTGTCCTTACTGGTCCTCTTCACTTGGCTCCCTATATTCGTGTCATACCTGTTGATTTAGCTGCTTTCAGTGACTTATTTTTGGAGCTAGGTATTCAGGAATATTTGCGGCCTTCTGATTATGCTAATATATTACGTAAAATGGCCCATAAGAAGGGTAATGTTCCATTAGATTCTAATGAAATCAATGCTGCTACATTTATTGCTCAACACCTCGCAGATGCTCATTTTTCTGAAGATCAAACTAAGATATATCTTCCAGATGTAGCAGGCAGACTACATAACGCCACAAGTTTAGTCTATAATGATGCTCCCTGGTTGCTTGAGTCTGAAGGTTCTAACAACTTATTTGGCAATGCTGCTATTTCATTGGGTGCTAAACAAGCTATTCACAAATTTGTTCATGGTAATATTTCTCATGATATAGCTGAAAAGCTTGGGGTACGTTCCTTTCGGAGAATTTTGCTTGCAGAGAGTGCTGATTCCATGAATTTGAGTTTGTCTGGAGCTGCTGAAGCATTTGGACAGCATGAAGCTTTGACAACCAGACTTAGGCATATACTTGAAATGTATGCTGATGGACCGTCAGTTCTCTTTGAGATGGTACAAAATGCTGAGGATGCAGGAGCCTCGAATGTTACCTTTTTACTGGATAAATCTAATTATGGGACTTCATCTCTTCTGTCACCTGAAATGGGAGATTGGCAAGGCCCGGCTTTGTATTGTTTCAATGACTCTGTTTTCAGTTCACAAGATCTTTATGCTATTTCCCGCATAGGCCAGGAAAGTAAACTAGAGAAACCGTTTGCAATTGGAAGATTCGGGCTTGGCTTTAATTGTGTTTATCACTTTACCGATGTCCCAACTTTTGTTTCTGGAGAAAATATTGTCATGTTTGATCCTCATGCCTGCCATTTGCCTGGAACTTCTCCAACTCACCCCGGGCTACGAATCAAATTTGTGGGCAGAAACATTTTGGAACAATTTCCTGATCAGTTTTCTCCATTTCTACACTTTGGATGTGATCTGCAACATCCATTTCCTGGTACTCTTTTCCGTTTTGCCCTTAGAACAGCCAATGGTGCCTCTAGAAGCCAAATAAAAAAAGAAGTGTATCCACCTACTGATGTCCTGTCACTGTTTTCTTCCTTTTCTGAGGTTGTTTCTACTACACTACTCTTTCTGCGCAATGTAAAGACTATATCCATTTTTGTCAAAGAAGGGCTTAACAGCGAAATGCAGTTGCTACACCGTGTTCGCAAGGATTGTGTTAGTGAGCCTGAAGCTGGAAAAGGTCCAATTCATCAAATTTTTAGCTCTATGCATGGGCATGAGCTAGATAGTTTGAGCAAAGATCAGTTCCTTCAAAGGTTGAGCAAGTCGATCAGTGTTGATGTTCCATGGAGGTCTCAGAAGCTTTTGGTGTCTGAGCAGAACCCCTCTGGTTGTAGGTCAAGCTTGTGGTTAACTACTGAATGCTTAGGTAGTCTCAACAGGAAAAAAATCACAACGTTTGACAAGAAATTTCACAAGTTTGTTCCTTGGGCTTGCGTAGCTACACCTATCAACTCTTTGGATATTGAGAAAAAAATGGGTGGGATTCAGGAAAATTTGAGTGAAACTTTCCCTAATACTGCTGAAATTCTGCAGATTCTTCAGACATCTTCTCGAGCCACACTTACTTTTGAGGGTCGGGCTTTTTGCTTCTTACCTCTCCCAATTAGTACTGGTCTTCCTGTTCATATAAATGGCTATTTTGAGTTGTCATCAAACCGGAGGGATATATGGTTTGGTGATGACATGGCAGGGGATGGGAAGATGCGTTCAGACTGGAACATGTACCTCCTTGAAGATGTCGTTGCCCCAGCTTACGCTCGTCTTATTGAGACAGTTGCACGGGAATTCGGTCCAAGTGATTTGTTCTTTTCCTTTTGGCCTATAACAGGAGGTTTTGAACCTTGGACCTCACTGGTAAGAAAGCTTTACCAGTTTATCTCTGAGAATGGTCTTCCTGTACTCTACACAGAAGCCCGAGGTGGCCAGTGGATTTCAACCAAGCAAGCCATTTTTCCCGATCACAATTTTGATAAGTCATCAGAGCTTTTAAAAGCATTGTCCGATGCTGGCTTACCTGTGGCTAGCGTTCCAAAGGAGATTGTTAACAAATTTATGGAAATTTGCCCATCCCTGCATTTTCTCACACCTCAGTTACTACGAACACTTCTAATTCGGAGGAGACGTGAATATACAGATAGAAATGCAATGATCTTAACCCTTGAATACTGCTTGCTTGATCTTACATGTCCAGTCATATCGAAAAGTTTCTACGGGTTACCCTTGTTACCACTTTCAAGTGGTGTGTTTGCAAAACTAGACAAAAGGGGGCTGACTGAACAAATTTATGTTACAAGGGGGGATGGCTACAGCCTTCTAAAGGATTCTATTCCACATCAACTGGTGGACTGCACTATTTCTGACTATCTTTACGATAAGTTGTGTGTTCTAGCTGAAAGCGAAGATTTTAATATCTCTTTTTTGACATGTCAACTTCTTGAAAATATACTTGCCACACTGATTCCACCAGAATGGCATAATGCAAAGCAGGTTACATGGATTCCTGATAATCAAGGCCATCCAAGTTTGGAATGGATGAAACTTCTATGGAGCTATCTGCGATCATCTTGTGAAGATCTTTCATTGTTTTGTAACTGGCCAATTTTGCCAGTTGAAAATAACCAGCTTATACAGCTTGTTGAAAACTCTAATGTCGTCATAGATGGTGGGTGGAGTGAAAACATGTTGGCATTGTTGCAGAGAGCTGGGTGCCTAATACTGAGGCGTGACATCTCAATTGAACATGCTCAGCTGAAACTTTTTGTTCAGCCTTCAACTGCAATTGGTGTTCTAAATGCACTGCTAGCAGTCACTGGTAAGGTAGATGACATCGAGGTGCTCTTTGGTGATGCTACGGATGGGGGACTGCATGAACTTAGAAGTTTTATTCTTCAAATGAAATGGTTCTCTGATGGTTTAATGGACGACACTCATGTCAATGTTATTAAGCACATTCCGATGTTTGAATCATACAAGAGTAGAAAACTTGTGTCTTTAAGTAGATCTCTCAAATGGCTTAAACCGGAGTATACACGTGATGATCTTTTAAATGATGACTTTGTCAAATTGGACTCTGATAAAGAAAGAATAATACTGGAGAAATATTTAGGTATCAGAGAACCTTCAAGGGTGGATTTCTACAAAGATTATGTACTCTCGCGCATGTCAGAGTTCATTTTCCAGGAGGGTTATCCCTTGGACCTTTTGCGTGATATTAGATTTTTGATTGAGGAGGATAACACTTGCAAAGAAGTGTTCTCTGCAACACCTTTTGTTCAGTCATCAGATGGAGCATGGACAGAGCCATTGAGGTTTGTTTCCTAAATGCATTGCTAATGGTCAATCTTTTATTTAAAGCATGATAAGTGGTTTGCAAGGAGTTTGTTTTCTGCTTGTTTCAAATCAATTTGTAAATGTCCACGGTGTGGTTATGAATTGTGGAAGATATGGAGTATTTTTTGTATATTCATTCATTAGGAAAAATGATACATATATATGATACAATCACTGAAAGAGAACATCTCTCTTATAGTTATGGGCTACTATCACTCCTAATATAACATTTAACTAAGATTCTAAGTGCTAATAGAGCTATTAACACAATAAATATTCCACCTGACTAAAATATTTGTCCAGATAAATCATTATCAATTGCGATGCAAATGCAAAATGCACTTAGTTCTGTAGACAGATTTCATGAGAGGTCTGCACATTATATTGCTGGAAGTGCATGTTTTTATGTTGTTTACGATTGAACTTTCCGATTATCTAAGTAATGGGCAAATAACCACGTCATGAAAGATTTTTGAGGAAGAAAGAGGTATGCAGCGTAGACAATAGAAGTGAAACAAGCATGAATTATCTTTTTATTGGAAATGGTAAAGCTAAAATGGTGGCTTGGTAGCCATCTGTGATTTTGAATTGTGGATTTATGAGTTATAGAACTTCCTTTTTTGACACCTACTGTGAGTCTTTATACAGCTTTATGAATTTACCAAGGGGTTCCGTATAGAAAGTAATCTGGAACAGGAGAAAACTTGTTGCATATTGTAAAATCACGACCTAGATTGTTGACAGAGGGGGGAGGGCACTGCACTACTTGCAGCTTATACACTGTCGTTATATGTAGATCCAGTTACAAAGTTTGAAACATGCTGTTATTGGTATGCACCTAACGACTTCTAATATGCTCATTCACAGGCTTTATGATCCCCGTGTTTCTGAACTGAAAATGCTTTTCCACCAAGGAGCATTTTTCCCCTCTGAGAACTTCTCTGCCCCTGAAATTCTGGAAACTTTAGTTACCCTTGGTCTCAAACAAACCCTGGGTTTTTCGAGTTTACTCGATTGTGCCAGGTCAGTTTCGATGTTATATGAATCAAGAGACTCTGAAGCATTAATACTTGCAAAGAGACTGCTTTCATGTTTAAATGCACTATCAGTGAAGCTGCTTCATGCTGAAGAGAGGGAAGAGTCTGCGGACACTACAGAATCTCCAGAGAGTTCTCTTCGTGGAGATGAAGAGAAGTTGTCTGTTTATGGTTCTGCGGACCTCTCAAATGTTTTGGACGTTCATTCAGTAGTCAATAACTTGGTAGATGATATGAAGAGAGAAGACTTTTGGTCAGGTCTGCGTTCTATCAGCTGGTGTCCTGTGTATTCTGATCCTCCAGTTCAGGGGCTTCCATGGTTAGCCTCAGCTCATAACATAGCAGCACCAGTTACAACCAGGCCCAAATCACAGATGTGGATGATTTCATCCAAGTTGCATGTACTGGATGGTGATTGTTCCGAGTACCTACAACATAAGCTCGGCTGGATGGATCCTCCAGATGTGGATACCTTGTCTTCTCAATTACTGGGACTATGCAACAGCTATAATGATATCAGGTTGAATGATGATGCTATACTGAAAAAGCAAATACCGTTAATCTATTCACAGTTGCAAAATTATGTTAAAACTGATGATTTGCCGTATCTTAAATCTTCTTTGGACGGCGTTAAATGGGTGTGGATTGGAGATGAATTTGTCTCTCCAGATGTGCTTGCGTTTGATTCACCTGTGAAATTTAGTCCCTACATGTATGTGGTACCATCTGAGCTATCAATATTCCAGGATTTTCTTTTGGCATTGGGCGTTAGACATAATTTTGATATTTCCGACTATTGTGATGTTTTAAAACGGTTGCAAAATGATGTAAAAGGTGGCACCCTCTCAAGTGATCAGTTGAATTTTGTCCAGTGTGTCCTAGAAGCCATCGTAGATAATTACTTGGATAGGTCAGAACTAGAACTTCCCACCACACTTTTGATTCCAGATTCTACTGGAATGCTCATAGGTGCAGCGAATCTTGTGTATAATGATGCACCATGGATGGAGCCCAATTCCCTTGGTGGCAAACGTTTTGTGCATTCCTCGATCAGCTATGACCTGGCTAGCCGATTGGGCATCCAATCACTTCGATCCCTTTCTTTTGTCAGTAAAGAATTGACTAAAGATTTTCCATGCATGGACTATAACAAAATACGCGAGCTACTGGAATCATATGGCAACTATGAGTTTCTTCTCTTTGACTTGCTTGAATTGGCTGATTGCTGCAAAGCCAAAAAGCTTCACCTCATCTTTGACAAGAGGGAACACCCCAGGCAGTCTCTCCTGCAGCACAATCTTGGTAATCAATTGTGGGTTGTTTGGCACAACTATATTATATATATTAATAGAATTATACTTTGTGTAATATAGTTTCTCAAGTTTCTGGCAAGCTACTGAGGTTCTATGATAATCCAGTTTATGGCTGTTCTCGTATTTTTGACCTATGGTTTTCTCGTTATGAGCTCTAGCAATCATTGGTACAGGGTTTAACCTAACTTGTGCCGACGTCTATAACTGATTTTCACTCTATGCAGCTGAATTTCAAGGGCCTGCCCTGGTGGTAATCCTGGAGGGAGCCAGCTTAAATGGAGATGAAGTCGGTAGTCTCCAGTTTCTTCCACCATGGAGTCTGAGGGGCCGTACTCTAAGCTATGGCTTGGGATTGCTAAGCTGTTTCTCTATCAGTGATCTGCCATCAATGATATCTGATGGCTGTTTGTATATTTTTGATCCTCGGGGGTTAGCAATTGCCACGCCGTCAGCGCGCTCACCGTCTGCTAAAGTTTTTCAACTGAAAGGTATGCCTGGATAGACATCATATCCTATCATGCATGGTTTTCTTGCATCAAAATTATCTATTGTTTCATCTATTTGATTAGGTTGGGGGTTTGCCTAACCCCCCACCCGTTTGGGTGTTTTAAATTGTTTTTTTTGGTTCAGATAACTTTTTTGGCAAGTCCAATGAATATTACAATGTTGGCAAATAAATAGTTGTGTGGTGCTTCCCAATTGCTTTATTTGTTGTTTTTCTATTATTTTTCTTGTATTTTGTTGATAACTTCTGAGTTCAGTTTTAGGCAGTAACAAGATCCTTTCGCTCTCTACCCATTCCTGTAAAAGTTAAAAGTGGTCATATGCACAAGTCAATTTAAATTACTGATGAATAAACAACATCACTTTGTTCACATTGCTGCTTCCCTTTCTGTTGTACTCTAGGGAGAGGGTATAATGATGACAGTAATTACTTAAAAGATTCTTTTAAATGTGATAAAGATGGCTCTTCAAAATTTATATTCTTACATCAAATACCTGAGCAAAAATATATATAGTTTGATTAGTATTTGCAAAGGCCAGGACTTTTGGAAACCTCGTATTCTTATTTGTGACGATATGCCACCTTTTATGATATCATAGGTCTTAAAATCACTTCCTGATTGTCACGTCATTCTATCGAATTCCTTAAGCAACTTCAATTTGCGGTCAGGAGTCCTATGATTTTATTGATTTTTTCTATGTTTCCTTTTAGTAGTAGTAACTTGTTGGTTGTCTGGTACAACTAAATATATTAGTTTGTTTGTTTTGCTAAATCAATATGCACTTTTCCTTTTGATGGTATGTGTACGAGCTAATATTACCAATATACAGTTATCTGATTGCTCTGATTTAGATTATATGCATCTTTCTCCAGCATCCTTTTTTGTTATCACTAATATAAAAGTTTCATTATCTGCCATGCTATTATTATGTTTTGAAGGAAGGGAAACACAAAGGGCATAGTATAGTTCCATTAAATAAACAATTTATATCACTTATAGATGAAAAAGAAAGCTCGCCCTATGTGGACTTATGGAATGCTGAGTAACCAGCACAAGAAACCTCACCTTTTCACAACCAAGGTTCTCTAGAACAACTATTGGTGCTTGTTATGGTGTTAACCATTCTATCACGATTAAGATATGCTAGTGAAAAAATAGGCGGAAAGCCTGTGGAAAAGAACCTACATCTTTACTGTCTTATTCTCTATTTATGTTTGTGTTGTCCAATAGAGAGTACCCATTCTTAACTTCATCTATTCTCAGGTACCAATTTGACAGAGCGATTCCATGATCAGTTTAGCCCAATGCTGATTTATGATAATATGCCATGGTCATCAGCTGATTCCACGGTCATACGCCTGCCTCTTTCATCAGAATTCATTGGGGATGGAGCTGAATTTGGTTTGGCAAGGATGATGTTGATGTTTAACAAGTTCATGGATCATGGTTCTGAAAAGATACTATTTTTGAAGTCAGTGTTGCAGGTAATTTCACAGTTGCATGTAAAAAGTAAAGATTGTAGTAATAATTATGGTAAGAGAGTGTTTCAAATAATATGGTGACGATTTAAAAATCTGAAGTCTAACAGAAAATGTGTCTGAGAAACCAAACTAATTGGATCAATTTCTGTAGAAGCATTCATATTTTTGATGTGGTCAAGAATTTTCTGTAACTATATCCTCCTAGAAATCTTTCAAATTCCTGTACTATCTTATATGATCTTCTTAGAGTTGCTCTTGTGAATTTATTTTCTTTCTATTGCACGAGATCTCACATTTGAATTTACTAAGACCCTTCTTTGGAATGGCAACTGCACATAGGAAACTTGATTCAAAGACTTGATATTTGTCTATAGTAAAATATGACGTAAGGAAATTTGGAATTTCTTAATTAATGAGAACTTGCCTTTCATGGATTTTTTTATTGGAAATAAAGAATTTTTATTTCATCAAAAAATCATTTAAGTATGATTTCTATGTAATGATTAGAGTATAATTTATCAGTAATTTCACTTGTACCTAGTAACCAGATTACATCTATTCAAACTATGAATCGTAACTTACTCTAAGGAACTTCATTTTACTGAACGAGAATAAAAATATAAGTCTTATGATGGTTGCTAATTAATGCTCTCATACACAGGTATCTTTGTCAACATGGGAGAATGAAATTCCACAACCATCCCTTGATTATTCAGTTGATATTGATCCTCTGTCTGCAGCTCTTAGAAATCCTTTTTCAGAAAATAAGTGGAAGAAATTCAAACTATCAAGTATATTTGGCAGCTCTACTGCTGCAGTCAAATTGCATGTTTTGGATTTGAACATGAATAAGAGGGGAGCTAGATTCATTGATCGGTGGCTCATTGTGCTCAGCATGGGTTCTGGTCAGACAAGAAATATGGCACTTGATAGGTATGTCAAGAAATAAGACCAAAAAAATGTGTATGTAACAGCAAAATATGAGGTTTTATGAGCGTGGGGAGAAACTGAGGAAGTAAATTAGTCATTTGCTATTCGATATGATTGCTTCCGTGTGTATGTTTAACCATCTGCTTAAGTTAAGAGTCTTGGACCTCAATTCCTTTTACTGATACTATTCCTCTGAGTTATGCTGAACTGAGAAAATCATACTTTTTACGTGATCACGAGATTTAAAACCTATTAACAACTGACTTTCATGGGATATATGGTCTAACTGTCTATGGAAGAAAGAGGATACCTTTTAACATTATTTGTTGGTTATAACCTTCAGTCTGCCGTAGAGATGTTTGTGCAACTCAATACATCTGTTATCACTGTGTGGGTTTATTTTGGTGAAATACGAGAGTGCCATTGCCTGCATGTGAAGAGTCATTATCCTATTGTCATATTCATATGCGTTGATTGCTAATTTTCTGTTATTCTTTAAAGAATCAAATGTGATGTTTTGGATTTCTCTGGTTACCGACTAAGTAGTGGTATGTCTGAGTCTAATAAGCCTTGGGTTCTGAACTCTTGTGTCTTAGTATGATTAATTCAAGTAAATGTATATATATTATATCTGGGAATAGGAATATTGTAAAAATTGGCTGGGAGCGTTGATCACTAAGTAGATGTTACCCCATCAAGATCAATTAGTTGTCTTTGACCTAAAATAGTTTAGTCAATCATCAAACTTGGTGAAGCATAACAGTAGCCAGAAGCTTAGGGATCCAAGTGCATTGATTACCTGGATTATGAATCCGTGTCTGCCAATCTCATGTACGTAGACTACAGAAGTATACCGAGCTAGATGATTTCTAATGTCATGGATGCGTCCTTAGATTTAATCTTCTCTAATGGTATACTTGTGCTATTAAACTAATAACATTTCATTTAATCAGGCGGTATCTTGCATACAACCTGACACCTGTTGCTGGAGTTGCTGCACATATATCGAGAAATGGCCATCCTGCTGATAATCATCCATCAAACTCCATCATTTCCCCTCTTCCTCTATCAAGCAGTATAAATATACCAATTACAGTGATGGGATCCTTCCTTGTGCGCCATAATCAGGGTCGCTACCTTTTCAGATGCCAAGACAGCGAAGCTGCATTTGAGCTACAATCTGATGCTGGAAGTCAATTGATTGAAGCTTGGAACAGAGAGCTGATGTCTTGTGTTCGAGACTCTTATACTAAATTGGTACTTGAGATGCAAAAGTTACGGAGTGACCCACTGACTTCTGTTCTTGAACCAAAATTTAGCCGTTCTGTTGGTGCAATTTTGAGTGCTTATGGGGATGAAATTTACACATTTTGGCCAAGGTCAGGCAAGAATGCCTTGGTCAAGCAACCAATAGATGGAAACGATACAGCTTCCATGACTACTTTTAAGGCAGATTGGGAATGTCTAATCGAACTAGTTATTAGGCCACTCTATGCTTCCCTTGTCGAGCTTCCTGTTTGGCGTCTACATTCTGGAAGCTTGGTTAAGGCTGCAGATGGTATGTTTCTTTCACAGCCTGGATCCGGAGTCGGTCAGAACTTGCTACCTGCCACTGTTTGTGCTTTTGTCAAGGAACATTATCCTGTTTTTTCGGTTCCATGGGAATTGGTGACTGAAATTCAGGCTGTGGGTGTTGCAGTAAAGGAAATCAAACCTAAGATGGTCAGAGACCTTCTTCGGTCTACTTCACCATCTGTAGGTAGTTGGTCAATTCATACCTATGTAGATGTTCTTGAATACTGCTTATCTGATATTCAACTTCAAGAGTCATCTAGTTCCAGTGAAATTGGTACACCAAGGGACTTGAATAATCGTGATATTGGCTCTTCAAGCAAAGAAGAAGATAGTCGTTCCTTTACTGTATCGGGCACCAATTCCCTTAGGCATGGTATTATTCCACCTAGTTCAGTCAACTCTGGAGGAGATGCAGTTGAGATGATGACAACCTTAGGGAAAGCTCTATTTGATTTTGGTCGTGGAGTTGTTGAAGATATAGGGAGGGCAGGAGGTTCTTCGGGTCATAGGAACTCGTTGACAGGAAGTAGCAGTTATGGGCCTTATAGTTTCAGTACGGGTGAGGAACAGAAGCTTTTTCATTTATCTACTGAAATCAAAGGCTTACCCTGTCCAACTGCAAAAAATAGTCTGGTCAAATTGGGCTTCACTGAAGTGTGGGTGGGAAACAGAGAGGAGCAGTCTCTTATTACTTCTTTAGCAGGAAAGTTCATTCATCCAGAAGTGCTGGAGAGACCAGTCCTGCAAAATATTTTTTCCAACCACTCTATTCAATCATTCTTGAAATTCCAAGCCTTTTCTCTTCGCTTGCTTGCTAGCCACATGAGATTTGCTTTTCACGAACACTGGTCAAATCATGTGATTGAGTCCAAAAATGTTCCTTGGTTTTCATGGGAGAAATCTTCAAGTTCTGATAGTGAAACAGGTCCTTCTCCTGAGTGGATTAGACTTTTCTGGAAGACCTTCAGTGGCTCATCAGAAGACACCAGTCTGTTTTCTGATTGGCCCCTCATTCCTGCTCTTCTTGGTCGTCCGATCTTATGTCGTGTAAGAGAAAGTCATCTTGTATTTATCCCACCCCTCGTTACTGATTTGGGTTCTTTTAATGCTACTTCCGGAGTAGGTACATCTGAAGTTGGTCAATCTGAGTTGTCTTCTGAGGCCCATGAGTTGCAAGCATACTTCTTGTCATTTAAATTTACCGAAGCAAAATATCCTTGGTTATTTTCATTGCTTAATCAATACAATATTCCTATTTTTGATTTTGATTACATGGATTGTGCTCCTCCATCAAAGTGTTTGCCAGCCGATGGACAATCATTAGGGCAAATTGTAGCATCCAAGCTTGTAGCAGCTAAACAAGCTGGATATTTTCATCAACTTACAGTCTTTCCAGATTCAGACCGAAATGAGTTATTCAGTTTATTTGCTTCTGATTTCTCATCTAGTTCCGGTTATGGAAGGGAAGAGCTTGAAGTGCTACGTAGTCTTCCTATTTATAGAACAGTTCTTGGAACATATACTCAATTGGATGGCCAGGATCTGTGCATTATCTCTTCAAAGACATTTCTCAAGCCATCTGATGATCAGTGTCTTTCTTATTCTGCCGAATCTACCGAAAGTTCTTTACTTCGAGCACTTGGAATCTGTGAATTGAATGATCAGCAGATCCTTGTAAAATATGGATTGCCTAGATTTGAAGATAAACCTCAGCTTGAGCAGGAGGATATCTTGATATACCTGTACACAAACTGGAAAGATCTTCAATTAGTTTCATCTATAGTTGAGGCACTTAAAGATACTAGTTTTGTGAAAACGTCTGATGAACAGTCTGAGAACCTGTCCAAACCAAAAGATCTATTTGATCCCAGTGATGCATTATTGGCCTCCGTGTTTTCTGGTGTGAGGAAGAATTTCCCCGGAGAGAGATTCATTTCTGATGGATGGCTTCAGATTTTACGAAAAACAGGTCTCCGTACGTCAGCTGAAGCAGATGTTATTCTGGAATGCGCTAAGCGAGTGGAGTATCTTGGAGGTGAATGTACTAAGCATGTAGAAGTTCTTGATGAAATAAACATTTGGAGTTCCCAGAATGAAGTATCTTATGAGATTTGGGTATTGGCTGAAACTTTAGTCAAATCAATTTTCTCAAACTTTGCTGTACTTTATGGAAACAATTTCTGCAACCTCCTTGGCAAGATTGCTTGTGTTCCAGCTGAAAAGGGATTTCCAAACATAGGTGGCAAAAGAAGTGGGAATAGAGTTCTCTGTTCTTACTCTGAAGCTATAACTATAAAGGATTGGCCTCTTGCTTGGAGTTGTGCACCAATTCTTTCGAAACAGAGTGTTGTACCCCCTGATTATGCTTGGGGACCACTCTATTTGTCAAGTCCTCCAGCTTTCTCCACTGTACTCAAGCACCTTCAGGTATGACAGCTACATTGTGATATTGCTGTGAATATTGTAACGCACTTTAATTGGCACGTGTGAAACATATTCCACAGGTTATTGGAAGAAATGGTGGCGAGGACGCTCTTGCACATTGGCCTGCTGTATCAGGTGTCAAGACGGTTGATGAAGCTTCCCTTGAGGTGTTGAAGTATCTCGACAAACTCTGGCCCTCCCTCTCTTCTTCAGGTACTAGTTTTTGTGCCTTCTAGGTAGATGTTTATGAATATTACTGTACGTACAACTCTAGGTTATTAAAGTAAAAGGATCACAATCATCAGCAAATCCTAACCCCTGATTAAAAGTACTCTAGAATAGAATATAGACTAAATCTTCGTTAATGTAGCATAGAATCAAACATATTTGATCCTATCATAAATAAGAATGTTTTGTTGAGACCACTCGGACAATATCTTTGCCAACGTTTTAGGTGAAGTGTGCTACCTGTTCTGATATGACTAATAACTCCCACTTAGTCTCTAGAAAATAATGTTCATTACCAGCTTGTGCTCCTTGAACAGTTTCGTGCCAAGGTTTTGTATAATTTTCTAAATAGGCCACAATTAGGAAACCTGATTTGATGGAGCCTGAAGCTCTGTTATGATAAAAGAATTTATGGAGGAAAATAGGATCCCCAAATTTGATTAATTCACAAAAAAAAAAAAAGAAATACAAGATTCACATAGTCAGATTTAAAATTGTTCTCAGCATTCAGAACATAAAAGAACACTACCTACGGTTTTAATTTGAATGTTAGACCTGATTTTATTGAGTTTTGTATAACTAAACTACTATACATAACGTTTCCACATATGATACACCGATACTTGTTGGTTTTTTCCCCGACTTGAATTAGTTTATTAAAGAGAGAAGCTCAAACACATAGTGTTGTTACATCACTGATATCAGTCCGGATAAGTGATACCAGTTGATTACACAATTTCTAAGATGTCACCATGTTCTGCTAAGCATTATTCACTTGAATTTGAGTAAAAAACATATTGTTTTTATAAACTTCATGTCCTTTTCTGCATTTTGATTTTTAATTGAGTTCAGTTAATCATTGTTGTTGCATTGACAGATATCGCAAAGCTGCAACAAGTGGCCTTCTTGCCAGCTGCAAATGGCACTCGTTTGGTGACAGCAAGCTCTCTTTTTGCTCGTTTAACAATAAATCTATCTCCATTTGCATTTGAACTCCCTTCGGCATATCTCCCTTTTGTGAAGATTCTTGGAGCCTTGGGACTTCAGGATTCACTATCTGTTGCTTATGCAAGGAATCTTCTTTCAGATCTTCAAAGAGTTTGTGGTTATCAGCGTTTAAATCCGAATGAGTTCCGTGCTGTAGTTGAAATCTTACATTTCATTTGTGATGAGAACAACACTTCAGATGATTCCAACTGGGATTCTGAAGCAGTTGTTCCTGATGACGGCTGCAGGCTCGTCCATGCAAAATCATGTGTATACATTGATGCTCGTGGTTCGCATTTAGTCAAGCATATTGATACTTCCAGGCTAAGATTTGTTCACAAAGATCTTCCACAGAGAGTGTGCGAGGCCCTTGGTATCAGAAAGCTTTCTGATGTCGTGAAAGAGGTATCAACATATGGAAGTATTGTAACTATATATGTAACTTAATATAAAATGCATTTCTCTCGTCTTATGATGTGGATATTTACCTATCTGTAGGAACTGGAAAACATTGAAGAGTTATGCAATTTGGAATGTATTGGTTCTCTTTCACTTGCTGTCATCAGACAAAAGTTAATGAGTGAATCATTTCAAGTGGCAGTGTGGAGAGTACTAACTAGCACCAATCTTGGTTTTGGTACTCAAGTCCTGGAGAAGGTCAAGAAATCATTGGAATCTATTGCAGAAAGATTGAATTTTGTAAAAAAAATATACACTCGTTTCTTGTTGCTTCCAAAGTCAATTAACATTACCCTCATTTCCAATAATTCCATTCTCCCAGAGTGGGAGGAAAAATCCAGCCATAGGGCCCTTTACTTCATAGATGAGTTAAGAACTTGTGTCTTAATCGCTGAGCCACCACAATACATAGCAGTTACTGATGTAATTGCTGCTGTGATAAGTGAGATTCTGGACTCACCGATTCCATTACCAATTGGATCTTTGTTTCTTTGTCCTGAGTACACTGAGACTGCACTCCTTGATGTCCTAAAACTTTGTTCTCACACAAGAGACACTGTCGGAACTGACTCTTTTCTAGGCAAAGAGATACTGTCACAAGATGCTAACCGAGTGCAGTTCCATCCTCTAAGACCATTCTTCAAGGGAGAGATAGTAGCTTGGAGAGCTTCAAATGGTGAAAGGTTGAAGTATGGTAGACTTCCAGAAAATGTTAAGCCATCAGCTGGACAAGCACTCTACAGACTTATGTTGGAAACTTCGCCTGGGATTACTGAGTCCCTTCTTTCTTCTAATATTTTCTCATTCAAGAATATTTCATATAGCACTTCAGAGTCATCAGTTGCGGTACAAGAGGGAGGTAGCATGGTGCATGAAAATAGAACACCAGAAACTTCTCAAGCAGTAAGGTCAAGACCCTCTCAGGTATTATTCTTGTTAACTTGCAAAGTACTTGACAGTTCAACTTCTTTAGCTGTGTAATTTGATGTGTGAACTGTACTCGATAAACTTTGAAAGTTGTGAGGTGAACTATGTGAGATAAATTAATAAAAATAGTATCATTGCCGTATTAGAAAATCTTTCTTGGTTGGTTCACTCTTGGTTAACTTACTGGAGATAAGTGTTATGAAAAAATTGAATCTTGCGCATATCTCTGAACATTGGATCATTAGGCTTCTAACTGTTTTTTAGTCGTTCACTGCTGAAGCCTTTATTGCCACATCTTCCCAAATTGTTGTACTTAGTTTTTTTTTTTAAATATAGTATTTTTATTTCTTTAAATGTCTACTTGCATTTTACTGTAGTTGGTTAGTAAATACAAACCGTGTAAGCTTTGGCTTGTCTTGCGGACTACAAGCAACTTCAGGAAAGGCGATAGTGAATGCTGTAAACATGGGTTCATTTGATAATAGTTGAGAACCTAAGAAAAGATATAAACGATGTTAGGATGGGATATAAATTGATATTTTCTGTGAACAAACATATTTGACGAATCGAACTCTATATCTGTCCAACGAATATGAAAATTTTGTGAAAATACTCAGATTTCCTTCAAATCAAGCATCCTGTTCAAATTCATGTACAAATTCCTGTTTAATTATTGTGAAATCAACCCTGATTGTGTCCTTCATTTCTATATATTTGCCTATATCTGTTGTAACTTTTTTCTCTTGACCGGCAGCCACAGCCAGTGCAAGACCTTCACCACGGCAGAGTATCACCTGCGGAATTGGTCCAAGCAGTTCATGAAATGCTTTCTTCAGCTGGCATCAATCTCGACGTAGAAAAACAGTCTCTATTGCAGACAGCATTAACACTGGAAGAACAACTGAAGGAATCTCAGGCTTCACTTTTACTGGAACAGGTATTTATCTTTAAATTGGAAGATATCATATGTGTTTAGAAATGTTTGAGTATTCCCAAAGGGAATTAATTTTTCATGTATTTTGGAATGCTTTAACTATATACAAGTTGAGTAGGTGATGAAGTTACACTTGTGGTGTTAAAATTGAATAAGGTCATATTGCTTTTGATCGTGTGCAGAATAATACTATTATCCGTATTATTTTTAGCATTCATCTGGGGTTCATATGTGACGTATGTGAATGAGATTATACATTTATTAGATTCTGGAATAGTTAGTTAGATTACTTAGATTTTACGAGAACAACACTTGATTCTCACTTTATGTGGTTTGCAATATTTTACATCTTCGAATCCCACAAAATCTAACATATTACAAACCCGTCCGTTTATAAATATCTAACTTAATGACCTGGTCTACTGTTTCATGTCATAAGTATGTAATAAAGCTAGTAAATTTTTTTTTTTTACTCCGGGGTCACATTCACTGTTTTTCTTTCTGACCTGTCTCATTTCTAAAATTTAAGTGTGTTCTAATGTATATCTTCCACTCAAAACGAAATAAATCAAAAGCATTGTTCTTTATCAAGAAAATTTTACTTATATATTATTTTTTCCTTCGTAAGCCTTCTATACTTTAGATCTGACACAAGTCCTTATTTAAAATCATGTCATGTTTCAGAATATTGGAGTAAACATGGTGTCGTAGAGTTTCATTTCAGTGAGATATTAACATATCTAACATAGCTGATGAACTTCAATAGATGTGCATAATTTATATTTTAACATAATAGTTAACAAAACATTATGTACATATAGAGTTACTTAAAATAATATTTTGAAAATTTATTTTTTCTTATGAAATTTTGTGTATTGTACCTTAAATTATAATATTACGATCAGTTATGAAATCGATGTATAATTCAAAAAATTCATTTGAAGTTGACCGGATTTTTACAACTTCAAAATAAAGATGTATGCATCATTCAATCAAAACCGTCGTCCATATTTTGTTGTCTTAACATGTTATACATTATTGTATTATTATGCATAGATAGATATGAACAACGTTGTGACTTTTCACAAGTAAATTTTTATGTTATAAATTTGGATTACTTCTATTCAGTATTTGTAAATTTTTGCTACATTGTGAGTAGATGAGAAATGACGGAAACAGTTTAATTAATGTTGATTGAAATGCACCGTAACATAACAGGAAAAGTCTGACATGGCTGCGAAAGAAGCTGATACGGCAAAAGTAGCATGGTCTTGCAGAGTCTGTTTAAATAATGAAGTTGATGTCACATTAATTCCATGTGGTCATGTATTGTGTCGAACGTGCTCATCAGCAGTTTCAAGGTGCCCATTCTGTCGAATCCATGTATCTAAAGCAATGAGAATCTTTCGCCCTTGATCTAGAGCTGCTCCCTTAATTGAGGTTACCCTTTTTTCTTTTTTCTTTTTTCTTTTTTCTTTCTTCCATCTTTTTCTCGTTCAGAAGTTTTTAGATATTTTACTGTTTTAACTTAGCTTTAATTGCAGAAATGGAGGTGGGCACACCAACAATGGAGTTTTAACAAGTTTGTGAAACTATGGTTTACCGATTTCTGATCTTTTTGTTTGCAAGTTGCCTGTTTCTGTACAGTAGGCCTGCTGGTTTTTGTAAGCATCTCATTGGTTTTTGTCGGTAAATAATTGTTAACATCATATTCATTTTAATCGGTAAATAATTGTTCATATATTCTAGTATAAATTGCAAATAATTAATCCCTGAGGTATATGCCTGAATTACGAAGATATCCTCCTTTGTAAAATCTGGATCTCTTGAGGTATGTCATTGTATATAATTTCTGAAATGCTAAATGTCGTTTCAATTTTATTAGTCCCGTTTATAATATTCTACTATTTCTCTTTCTAAAGTTCTCTGTTTCTCATTTCTCTACAAAATTAATTTAAGAGCGCCAATAAAATTAAATCTATGTATTTTTCTTTTTCCTCTTTTGTCAAAAAAAAAAACATTTTTTTTAATTGACCGGGATGAGTTATAGGTTGACAAATATTATGTTTTTCGAAAAATAAAATTGTTTTTCACGCCCAATGAGCATACACGTTAAGTCGACTTCAAATGCACACGTTAAGTCGACTTCAAATGCAATTTGGACCCTCTTTCAATCAAGATTTGAGAAAATGTAAAATGTCAAATTTGTAACACCTCAAGTTGGTTTTCTGATCCAATTTGAATTTGATAGATTCGATGTCTGGTGATAGAGTTTTGAGTGATTTGAACGAAACATTGTCACAAAGCACAATAAGTGGACTTTAAACGAGATTTTGGCAATCTAAACGTTTGAATATGAAAAATACTTAAACATTAATATTGAAGCCTTTAGATTTGGCTTTCAAACCCAACTTGAATCATCTAAATCAAATGTTGGTTTATAGATCTATGGATAATTCAATAAGCACCGTCAAAACTCACACCCAAAATGGGCGTGAAACGATTACTTTCGCACCTCATATGGGCATGGATTTGCTTTACTCGCGTCCAAAATGAGCGGTTTATGCGTGAATGCATGTTCACCCACTCTCGGTTTAGGCGTGACTCCATGTTCACCCACGCTCTTTTTGGGCGTATTGGACGAGATTATAACGGATCCCCGCCCGTTGGACACGAAAGGAGCCAATTCACGCCCATTTTGGGCGTGTGGGTGGCCGTGCTCATGAAATTATCGTCAACTCTCTCATCCGGCCTCCGAATTCTGTAATTCAAGTTGGGCTTGAAAGCCAACAAAAAGGGCTACGATGTTGATGTTTAATACGTTTCCCAGGTTCCAAACTCAAGATAGTTTGAATTACGGTTGAAGCCGACTTATTGTGTTGCGACAGAGCTCACTAAATAATCCATAACTCTCTCACCAATATTGAATCTAACTAATTCAAGTTGGATTAGAAGTCTACCCAAAGGATTACAAATTGGTTGTTTTAAGTTTTGTCATATGGTGTTGAGGATCCAAATTGCGTTTGAAATTGTCTTATCGGGTGTGCTCATTTTGGGTGCGGACAACAATTATTTTTTTGAAAAAAATAATATTTTTCTATCTCCATTTATTCCTTATCGAATGAAAACATATGTTTACTGATAAAAAAGAGAAAATACATAAGATTAATTTTTAATAAAGCTCTTGAATTGATTTTGGGAGAGGGATGGGAGTGGGAGAGGTTTGAGAGACGAACATAAATGATATTATGAATGATATTCCTAAAAACGGAACAACGTTTTTCTAGTCCCATCACCGATGTCATTTTTCCCATTATGGCAACACTAGCCGTAACAAAATATTTTAGATTCTAAGGGGGTTTTATGCATAAGTTTCTGACCAACCATCTTTATTATTCTAGGTTCAGGGGTAGGGGTGTGAACGAGCCGAGCTCGGCTGTTTTGGTCAGCTCGAGCTCGAGCTCGAGTCCATGTTGCCGAGCTCGAGCTCATCGAGTCAATTTTTTTTGGCTCGAGCTCGGGCTCATTTAGTTTTTTTTTTTTTTTTTTTTTTATGATTAAAATCATTTAATCTTTTATTAAAAATTATTTATAGGAAAAATAAAAAAATATATATATACAATGAATAATGAATAATTATAAAAAAAAATTTAATTTTTATACTATTATTATAATATTTTATTATTATATTGAACTAGTAATCGTGCCCGTGCGTTGCACGGGGTCGCATTCAAAAAGCGAAGAAAATAATTGTTTAACTAAAAAATAATACGAATTGTAATAAAAAAACCTATCAAATAATTTCAAAATATATATATTTGTGAAATTCAAATTACATTGCTCTTACCTTATTTTATTGGATCATATATTCTCCCATCCTATAATAAATATATACATAAAGTATCGATTTAACCACAAAACTAAATAATACGAATTTGACAAAGGGGGCGGCTATTTCAAATACGAATTATTTATCACTTCTATACCATTTAAATAAAAAGTAGGTAATGACATTAATGTCCTGAATGAAAATAAATGCCACACGAACGTCAAAAATCTCATTTTTCTTTCATTAATACAACACACACAAAACTCTCACATCCATCTCATTTTTTGCTTCACAAACCCCCTCCACCTCCTGCTTCTTCCTCTTCTTCTCCTCCTTCTTTTTTTTCTTCTTCCTCCTCCTCGTCTTCTTCCACCTCATATTCCTCCTCCTCCTCTTTCTTCTTCTTCTTCCTCGTCGTCTTCCTCGTCCTATTTTTCGCCATCTTCCTCTTCTTCTTCCGCTTCTTCCTCTTTTTCTTCTTCTTCTTCCTCTTCGTCTTCTTCTTCCTCTTCGTCTTCTTCTTCTTTCTTTTTCTCTTATTCTTTTGCTTCCTCTTCCTCTCTTTCTTCCTCCTCTTCATCTTCCTCTTCCTCTTCCTCTTCCTCCTCATCTTCTTCCGCTTTTTCCGATTCTTGCTCTTTTTCTTATTCGTCTTCCTCTTCCTCTTCCTCCTCCTCTTCTTCCGATTTTTCCGCTTCTTCCTCTTCTTCTTATTCGTCTTCCTCTTCCTCTTCCTCCTCCTCTTCCTCTTCTTCTTTTAGATGCTGCTGCTTCTTCTTCTTCTTCCTTCATCTTCTTTCTTTTCTTTTTTTTTCCTTTTCTTCTTCTTTCATTTTCTTCTTCCTTCTCTTTTTCTTTCCTTTTCTTCTTCTTTTTGTTCTTCTTTTTTTCTTTTCTTCTTCTTTCATTATCTTCTTCCTTCTCTTCTTATTTGCTTTTCTTCTTTTTTCATTTTCTTCTTCATTCTTCTCCTTCATCTTAATTCTTCTTCTTTCTTCCCTTTTCATCTTTCCTCCTTCTCATTCTTCTACTCCTTCTCCTTCATTTTAAGCGCAAAATAAAAAACATCTATTAATTGCTATCTCACTTATTTGAATCCATGAATCTTCAAATTCAAACATAAAAATGCCATAGAAGTAATACTTTAATATTGTACCTATCACACATTCCAGGGAGGTTTTCCATGAAGACGTTGGATCACCAATTTTCCAAACAATACGACTACCGTTACAAAAAATCTTGGTGAGGAAGAAGAGGACGAAAAAAAAATGTGTTTTTCGCTGAAGTTCTCCATCAGTGAGGGGTTAGAGTGGAGAAGGAAATAAAAAGAGTTTTTGATTGAAAAATAAAAAAATTTAAAAAAAATTCAAAAAAAAAATGAGTGAGAAACCTTTAATTAAGCAACAACCAAACCATTGTGTGTGAGCAGAAGATTCCGTAACAAATATCAGCACCAACTTCAACCATGGAATCTCCTTGGAATTCCTAATAATCAACAATAATTAATCATGAATCTAAACCCTTATTATAAATGACTATAATATTGGAAGAAAGACAAAGAAAAAGAGTCTGACTGATTATTCTAAAAAAAATAAAGTCTTTTCGTTCTTCACCTTCACTTCATACCGGAAAATTTACCATGTAATCTAGCTGATGAATGGATCTTATTGAGGATCAAAACTGAAAAGGAAAAAAAAAATCATTCGTTGAAAAGAGAGTGAAGAAGAAAAAAATGAACTAACTGAAAACATTTCAAATGATGGAAAGAAAGCTATTCGTCAATTCTTTATTCTTTTGTGGCTTGCGGAAGAACAGTCAATCAAGTTTAAGAATGAAAGAAGTTACCAATAGAAGTTGAGAGCAGATCGTGTGTAGAAGTTAAGAGGGGATCGTGTTTTCAGTTATTATCTCGGGTACATTTTTTTATTATCTTTTTCTTTTTTCTTTTAAATCGTGTAGAGTAAAAAAAAAGACACAAACAAAAAAAAAAACAAATCCTGGGTCTACTAACATACAATTAAAATGGATCTAAGGTTTCATGAAAAAAAAAATTACTTTTATAAAAGGAGATATGATAATTAAGAATTCTATTATCATCGTGGTTGTACGGTTTCATGAAAAAATAAAATAACTTCCCCATATCTTTAGATATTATCATCGTGCGTATATAATATATATTTCAATAACCTGATAAGCCAGTTAAAATGGAAAGCAAAAAAAAAAAAAAGGGGAAAAAAAATAATTGAGCAGTTTTCAGATGTGCAGGAGAAATGATTGGTTATTTGGTTGACCAAAGATTGAATTACATAAATACCCCTAGGGTTACATCTAGGATTGTAGTTCAAAATATCTTCATTTTATATATAAGATTATCTAAGTAATATAGATTTGTTTCTATTTAAATACTAGAAATATTTATTATTATAGACTATTTAGTTAATGATAATAAGAATAATGGGATAATTAGTGAAAACCCCCAACTCATTTATTTATATTAAGTTGGATATATTCCACATCTCAAAAAAAAAAGTTGGATATATCCCCTTTTTCAATATTAGTGAGACCCCTAATTAATTATTTAAATAAATATTTATTAAAATTTAAAGTAATCTCTCCAATTTAACCTTCTATCAATAATATATAATTTATTTTTTCCACCTCAAACCCTAACGACATAAATTCATCGTCTCTTATCCTATTCTCTCTTCTTCCACAGCACACCTTCGCCTCTCCATCTCCGCGCCGCCGCCGTCCCTCCGCCACCTTCGTCTCATCTTCCTTCACTATCCTCTGTAAGCGCTCGTCACCTCCGCCCCGACATCATCTCTCGATCTTCCTTGTTTTTCCTCAACTGTCTTCGTCTCCGATCCACATATACTGCCACAATCGCTCCCCCTGCTAACACCGTCATCACATCTGCTGCTGTGTCGGCCGAGCCAATATTCCTCCGCTTGTAATCTGGTTATGTTCTATTTATTTTCTTAAGTATAGTCCATTTTGCTATTTTTTTTTTCCTTTTTCAGAAAATAATATATTATTTTTTTAGGAAA